TAAGCATACATCTTGGTGGATTTTACAAAGTGCACATAAATGTTTAGTACCCAGAGTTTTAAATAATAAATAAAGTACTGTGTAACCAGCAATCCAAAAGGTCCATTAACTCTTCAGTAATCAGGCCATAAATGTAACCTGTTTATCGCCTTAGATTAGCGTTGTCTGATTTGCATCTCATATATAAACATGCAGCTTCTCTCAGTCAGCATGCTTGTGATTCATCTATCTGGTGAGCTGCAGACAAAAAGTTTATTGGCATATGCACAATAGACAGGCATGGTGGTGCACACCTGTAATTCCAGCTACTTTGGAGGCTAAGACAGAAATGTTCAAGCCCACCAAAGTCCTGCCTCAAAATAAGAACAAATACCCACTACACTTGATCATAGCCAGGAAAGCTGAGAAACTCATTTCAAAATAAAGAGTGGGGGCTGGGGATTTAGTTCAGCAGCATAAGTGCCTGCCTCACAAGCAGGCAGTCATGAGTTCGATCCCCAGTACCGATAAAAAGACAAAAAAATATAAATAAAGAGGGATGGGTTTACCTCAGTGGCAGAGGATGTGTCTAGCATGTTCGAGACCCTGAGTTCAATTCCAGAACAGTGAACTTTTTTGCAGAAAGAGGGGTCAGGGTCTTGTTATGCAGTTCAGGCTGACCTTAAACTAGTGACAATCTTCCTGCCTCAAGCCTCCCAATGCAACAGCAAACAAAAACACTGAAATGACACCCAGGATTTGGAGGCAGATTTGTTTTACATTGAGGGGCACTGATTGGGATCAATCCCAAAATATCAGGCCCTGATCTCTGGCAGTCTAGGGCGTATATGGAACTAGCAAGCAGGAAGTACAGAGGCGTAGTGGCTTGTTAATAGGGGATTGGTCTATTCAATGTGCATCAGAGTGACCAGCTGTTTCTAAGAGACCAGAAACAACCATAACTGTAAGTAGATAATATTACCTGGGCACTAAGAAACTGAAGTATACTGGTGGTGTGGGGAGCAGGATTTTCTATTATACCAAGTGCTGGGATTACGGGCATGTATTACTGTGCTCAGCTCTGAACGTTATTGTAACCAGGTTAACCATATAAAACTTTTACCAGTTTTGGAATCAACATCTGTTAAGTATTAGTAATTATACATGTAATTCAATGCACTGCAAACCTCCCTCCTTCCCAGGCCCTCTCACATGCTAGATAAGTGCTCTACTGGCGACCTATTCCCCAGCCCATTTATTTGATTTTGAGATAGGGTCTTCCTGAGTTACTCTGACTGGCTTCAAGCTGGTCATGTTCTCTCAGCCTCCCCAAAAGCTGAAGCATCCCTGGCTCCTACCGCACGTCTTTGAGTGCACACGTGTTTGCACTGTGTTGGACATATACCCAGGGGTCGGATTTCTGAGTCCACAAGGTGCACACATCTTTAAACAAATTAGATACTGCCAAACAGTTTTCCGAAGCTCAACTACGCTTCATCAGCAGTTCCTCCACATCTTTTCCAACACTCCAGTCTGTTGACCTTTTTTCTCATTTTAGCTATCTTCGTGGGTGTGTAGTGATATCACAATGTGGTTTTAACTTGCAGTTCCCTTATAAAATTGAATATCTCTTCATCTGCCAATTGGTCACTTGAATATCCTCTTTATGCTAACGTGGTGGTACATGCCTATAATCCCAGCTGCTCAAGAGACTGAGGAAGGAGAATTGAAAGTTCAAGTCCACCCTGGGCAATTTAGTGAGGTAAAAAAATAGAAGGGCTGGAGGTGTAGGTTGTGACCGAGTGCTTGCCCTTATCCAATACAGAGAAGGCCCTGGGTTCAATTCTGCATGTCCAAAAAATGTATCTGTATCTCCTCTATAGAGGAAATATCCATATTATAAATCTTTGCCCATTTTAAAAAATTGAGTTGCCTGGGCTGGGGATATAACTCAGTGGCACAATGCCTGCCTGTTAAACACAAGGTCCTAAGTTTTATTCTCAGTAACCACAAAAACAAAACAAAACAAAACAAAACATTGGGTTGCTTGTTTTTCTTTCACTAGTTTGTAGGAAATTTGAAAATATATTTTGGATGCAAGTTAGCGGCTGTAGCATTGTAAATATTTTCTTTCACTCTGTAACTTGCCATTTCATTCTCTAAACCACTTAACATATTTCAATTTTAATTAAATTCAGTTTATCTACTTTTTAAAGTTTAATGCTTTTTATGACCCATTGAAGAATTGGCACTGGGGATATGGCGCAGTGGTAGAGCTCAAGCTTCTCATAAACAAGGCCCTGGGTTTGAGCCCCAGCACCACACACACACACACACACACACACACACACACACACACACAGTATGGAGCATTAATTTTAATGTTTTTTCCTAAACAAAACTAACCTGAGTAATTAAGCTGCTCTATGGGTGATTAACACAGGGAAGTGAGGAGGAGCCAGTTCCTGGATAAAGATGGCAACTTTTGTTTTGAACACAGTGAATCTGGCTTAGTCATCAGCACTTGTTTTTTCTTTTCCTATCTCTTCCAGCCTCTGCTTGAAGCACAATTTTGAATGAATGCTCTGAGGAATGAGAGTGTTTCCCCTTGACATCATTAATGATTAGAAGAAGAGATGTTTTTACCATTTATTGTATGCTGCATGTATCTTGAAAGTTCCTTCTGAATCCTCCAAGAAGTTCTCTGGGGCAGTACCATCATCTCCTTTGGGCAAATGAGGAAGCTGAGGTTCTAAGAAATTGAGAAACTGCCTGAACTATGCAGTTAAGTGCTAAATTGTCTTACCAGCAAACCACACCCTCTCTGAGACATCACCAGCTGCCTTTAGGCATAAGTTCCATTTGTTAGTTTCCTGGGACTGCTGCAACAAATCACCACAAACTGAGAGCATAAAGTGATGAATATTTTATTGTCTCCTTCTTGGGGAAGCCAGAAGTCAACACGCTGGCACTGGTTCTTTCTGAGGGCTCTGGGGGGAATCTGTCCCATGCCTGTCTCCTAGTTTTTGGTGATAGCTTCCTAGGCATGCATATGCCCCCACCGCTGTGCCTACCTGCATGTGGCCATTTCCTTACAAGGACAACAGTCATACTGGATTAGCAGCCGCCTCATCCAGGGTGACCTATTTTACTTTATTTTGTTTTTGAGGTTGAGCTGTTACTGCATTGCCAGGGACTGGGTTTAAAAGAGGCTTCAAAGTCAACCTCCCAAGTGCAGCAGCTGAGACAAGGGCACAGCCATTGTCCCTGGAATTTTCACCTTTTTGTCAGCTTGTTTGTGTGGTGTCTTGAATCCAGGGCCTCAATGCCTGTTAGGCAGGGCTCTACCACTGACCCACACCTCCCTCTACCTCATTTTAACTAATCACAACTAAAATGACCTTATTGCCACAGAAGATCACATTCTGAGGCAGTGGGAGTTCAACATATCTTTTGCTGACTTATTTGTCTGTTTGTTTGAGAGATGGTGGCCTCAAACTCACATTGATGCTTCTGCTTCATCCTTCTGGGTGCTAAGATAACAGGCACACGCCATGCCTGGCTATCAGCATATCTTTTTTTGAGGAATACAGTTAAATACCAATAGCTCATTAAATTGAGTAAGCTCTGAAAGGAAAAGGGTGTTATTTCTTCCTGATTTAGAAAATTTTTGTACAAAAACAGTTGACTTTATTTCCTAAATTCCCCAGAAACTTTCAAGATTCTTAGAATTCCTAGTTTGTTTTGTACCAGGGATTGAACTCACAATCTCACGCTTGCCAGGCAGGCCACTGAGCTAAATCCCTGGCCCCCCCAAAACAATGTATTTATTTATTTATTGGCACCGGGATCGAACTCTTGACTGAGCTGGCCAGGCAGGTGCTTCCACCGCTGAGCTAAACCCCCAGCAATCCTGTGCTTTCTATTAATACTTAGGACTCTGGTGTCATACTTGAAAGGGTTTTGGCCCAGGCCGGATACTATAGCCGGTAAAGCCAGGAAGCTCCTATCTCCCCCACCCTTAGGAAACCTCGGGCGCCAAACAAAGACCAATGGGCTACCTGTGCATCCCTAATGCCCCCCTTAGGTTCCACCCCAAACCGAGGCTACTTATGTGCCTCACTCCACGAGTTCCACGGAGAGATCACAGGCCCTGGGGTGGGGGTGCTACGCCCCAGGGGGTCGGGGGTGTCTCTCCCCGCATTCTCAAAATAAAGGTCATTTATATTTCATACTTCTTATCTTTTCAGCCGCCACCGGTCCTCCCTCCCACAATTCTATCAATACCCGGCTGCCTTTCGCTATACATATGGACGATTCATTGCTGTCCTACAAAAACTCAGACCCTTGCCTTCCTCCTTACTCCCCACTTCTTCACAAAAACTGCCTAGGTCTCACCATCTTGTACAAAGAACCCTTTTCCTTTCCACTCCTCACATCTCCCAGGTTCAACTCCTGGCAAATGTTTCTAGAAACACATTTCCAAACTGACTGAAATTCAAAACCCGGAGACCCTGTGCGAGAAATATGCAGCAGTTTCACTCTGCAGCCAACGCCAAACTTGGCGCCAGTCTCATAACCCTCTATGTCTTCCAAATGAAATACTGCACGCCTTGCCAAGCCCTCTCCTTTGACCTTGACCTTCTCTGATAACCCTCCTGCTCTGCCCCAACCTGCCCCTTTTGAGATGGTTTCCTTATGTACTTCAGATTGGCCTCGAACTGGCAGCGATCATCCTGCCTCAGCCTGCCAAATGCTGGGTTTACAAGCTTGAGCCACCATACCCTCACGCCCGCTCTTTTTCTTGCTGAGCTTCTGAGACACTTCGCATCTCATCGAATTGTTCCATTATACTCGGGGGCTTTGCCCTGTACCTGCCTCCGCGCCCCCACCACACTGGGCCGCAGACTTGTTCCCTTTGGGACCCAGGGAGCCTCCCCCAAAGCTTCCGTGGGAATTACAGACGGCAGCCGAGGGGCTTCGTTCGGAAGATTCGGCGCAGCCGCCTTAAAGGGCAGATCCGGACAAGGTTTCCCGGATTTGGCGGAATGAGTCTGCGGGGCACCCAAGGGCTCCGTTTAGAATTCCCCGCGAGCCACCTCTCAGGCGGAACCTTTGTGCAGGGCACAGCCGGGTGCTTTAGGGCGAGGCACACGGGAACCGGAAGTCAGTGGAGGTGGTCCTCACCTTGGGGTCCCGCTGATAGGATTTGGAAGATGATTGTACCGGGTTTCCTCCGGACGAGAGGTAGAGTGCCTGGAATAGAGGGTTAACTTCCCATGCCATTAACCCCTGGTCCCGGACTGTTTCCTTATCATGTCCCATATCTAGGTCTCCCACTTGAGGCTTTAGCTGAGCTGACAGCAGTTCTGGTCCCAGAGACTCAATCTGTGGTTCCCTGGCCCGGGGTCCGCGTGCGTTTTTCCTGGACTTGGGAGGCAGGAGGAAGATTCAGATTCTGACGACAGCTTGGTTACCTCTGGCTGCATTGTTTTCCTTTGGCTGTGATGTCAGAGATGCTTCCCACTGGTTTTGCAGTTACTCATGATACGGTGTTTATTCTGCCTGCAGTAAGTTAGTGTTGGAGATGTGGGGCGAAGGTAGAGCACTTGCCTGCATTCTCGGAGTCCTAGATCCAGTCTCCGGTACTGCACAAACAAAACCAGAAAACAAACAAACGAAAAAAAAAGAACAACTTTTAAAAAGTGTACAGTAGGAAATAAGCCCTCCCATAAATGTACTATTTCGCTAAAACATTTTATTTATTTGTTGGTACCGGGGATTGAACTCTTTTATTTACTTTTTTATTTTTTTCAGGGATCGAACTCTTGACCTTGCGCTTGCCAGGCAGGCGCTTATGCCGCTGAGCTAAATCCTCGGCCCTTAAACATTTCGTATACATGCATTAAATTTAATTTTCTGTAGTTCATTGAGTGCTAAATGAGTGAAAATGACAGTGAGGGTAAATCTTAAATAACAGTTACAAAAATCGAACCCTCTCCTGTTACAAATACATTAAGCATCATGACTTTAGGGCCTCATGCATGCTAGATAAAGACTGCATTGAGCTATAGTCCCAGCTCTTAACTTTTTCTTTTCTTTTCTTTCTTTCTTGACGGTCTTCCTATGCAGGTCAGATAGGCCTTGAATTGCTGTGATCCTCCTGCCTCACTTCTCTAGTGTTGTTCAGCTAACTACAACTTTTTTTTTTTTTTTTCTTTTTTAAAGTTTTTTGAGACAGTGTCTTGCTTTGTTGTCCAGGTTGGTCTCAACTCATTATGTAGTCCAGGTTGGCCTTGAACTCTTGGTGATCCTCCTGCCTTAGCCTCCCTAGTGCTGGGATTATAGGTAGCTAACTACAATTTCTTGACAAACATGAAATATGATGTTCTTAGTAGTAAAACTGGACTGATCTATCAGGCTTAGAAGACATGACGCATGCTTGTAGTCCCAGCACTTGCAGGAGGATTGTGTGAGTTCAGGGCCAGCCTGAACTGCACAGCGAAACCTTATATCAAAAAAGACAAAAACAAAAAACTCAGAAGACCACTTGACTTAAAAACAAAAAGCCTAGTTTTAAAAAACTGTTTAGGGGTAACTACAATATGGTTCTAAATCTAACCTCCTTTTAAGTTAGTTAATGTGATCCAGCTTGAATTATAGGAAAATCTATGGAACTTTGCAGTGCATCTAGCTAAGCTTGCAACTAACACTAAACAGAAGTAGGACATCCTAACTTACATTTTGATAAATTTTCCTTTTAGGAAGGTGGAGACGCTTACCAGTTCCATTGAAGTCATCACTATTCCAAGATTTACATAATTTTTGCTGTCGGAAAAAATCCAGTGAACCTGAGAGAATTATTACGAGTTCTGGTGCAAATGCAAAAGAATCTGGAAATGTTCTTGATAAGGTCTTCTCTTCAGAAGAGCAGGCTTCCATCCTGCGTGTGCTGAATACAGCATCTAACAAAGAACTTGAAGCTTTCAAATTGCTTCGTGGAAGAAAGTCCAACAATATTGTAGAGTACAGAGAAAAGCATGGGCCATTTCAGAGTTTGGAGAGTTTGATGAATGTGCCCTTGTTCCAATATAAAACTATTGTTCAAGTTTGTAACTCAATTCTTTGTCCAGAGACCGAAAAGACAAAAAGAAAATTGCCAGAAAACCAGCAGCTGAGAAACCTCATCAAACCAAACATAGAAAGAAGGAGACTTAAGGTATTTTCTTAAATGTCTATTACACTGCTTGATGTTGAGGAACTGTGTATCACCATTCTGGACACTGAGTTGGCATGATAATTAATCCAGGGTTCTTTAGGCTTAGTTGGTGCATCCGTACATACTCATATAAATAATGACTAATGAAGTAGGATTACTAGCACATAGTAAAGTGTTCAGACAGTAAATTGGTAGTTGACAGGAGGGAAAACTAAGCTACTGCTGTTAAGTATCTAGAGTGAGGCATTAGGCAGGCTAGAAGAGGACAGCATTATAGAAAAACAGTTGGTATCAAATGTAGGTCTATGTAAGATATATTTAAGAGGACTGTTGTAGAGATACCCAATTATAATGAGCAATTAAGATGCAAAAATAGAGCCGGGCGTGGTGGCTCACGCCAATCCCAGCACTTGGGAGGCTGAGGTGGGAGGATCGTTGCGAATTTGAGACCAGCCTGGCCTACAAAGTGAGCTCGAGGCCAGCCTGAACTGCATAGCGAGACCCAGTTTCAAAAAAGATGCAAAAATAGGGCTGGAGGTTTAGCTCAGCGGCATAAGCACCTGCCTTGCAAGCAGGCGGTCGTGAGTTCGATCCCCGGTACGGGAAAAAAAGACAAAAAAAAAAAAAAAAAAAAAAAAAAAGATGCAAAAATAGATGACAGCCAAGCAGTGACTAGAACAGTGCTACCAGTATTTATAGCAGGATTTAAAATTATTTTCTGCTCCCCATACTTCCTTTAGAAAGCAATCTAAAAGCAAATTGTAGCTGGGCATGGTGCCTTGTGCTTATAATCTCAGCCCTGAGGAGGCTGAGGCAGAAAGAGCACCATGCATTCAGGGCCAACCTGGGCTACACAGCACGATCCTGTCCTTTCCACTTTCAAAATCTTTTTCAGTGTAACCTATGAAACTATTCAAATTACTTGATACTAACATTAAATTTTGAAGGAACTTAGGCCCTATGTAACACTGCTTGATAAAATATCTTATCGCATAATAATAATCAGCATAGGACAGGGGAACAGTGTTTTCTTTGAAAACTTTGGACCTTCCCAGGGTGCAGAAAACTATAACATGCACATAATACTGCATATACTTTTAGAAGACTTGCAGAACCCTCAGGATGGCTCTTTTGTTGAAGTTGATCTGGAACATACATCATCCATGTTTTTCAGGGAGGACTTTGATCCAGATTCCTGGCTAACACTATATATATTCAGATTACAGTGGAGTTATACCTTATTTAGGGGACTTTCTGTTTTGTTCTGCTTGCATATACTTTTTTTTTTTTGTATTGGGAACTAAATTCAAGATTTCACGTTTGCCAGGCAGGCACTTATGCCACTGAGCTGTATCTTCTTTTTTTTTTTTTTTTTTTTTTGAGACAGGGTCTTGCTATAGTTCAGGTTGGCCTTGAACCCACAGCAGTCCTCTTGCTTCCCAAGTGCTGGGATGTGTATGCCACCACATCCAGCTGGAGACTAAATTTTTTTTTTTCCCCGAGACAGAAATCTCATTGTGTAGTTCAGGGTAGCCTAAACTCACTAATTAGCCCAGGCTGGCCTCAGACTCACACAGTCCTCCTGCCTCAGTCTTCCCAAGTGCTGGGATTATAGGCATAAGCCACCACACTTGTCTTGGAGATTAAGTTTTAAAGTCAGTTTTATGGAGAAAATTCTGCAACAAAATCTTTCTTAAAAATCTGTTGTACAAAGAAGTGCTTATTGCAGTGTGGGTTAGCACCAGCATTTGAGAGTCACTGAACTCAACCAATAAAAAAAATCTCTTTTATGTATGTCTGAGTGTTCAAACTGTCCTGCCTTTAATATATTTATCCAGTGGTTTATTTACCGGAAAGGGAGATGGGTATAGTAGTACAAAGTATTGCTTCTCTTAACTGCCCCTGTGCCTACAGCATAATTTAGTAGGCCATGTGGGAATGAGATGATACTGTACTCTATACTGTAACCTATATCCAGCCAAGACTTAGCACAGAGCTACCTCTCTCTCCCTCTCTTTCTTTCTTTCTTTCTTCTCTATGCAGTTCGAGCTGGCTTGGAACTCACTTTGTATCCCAGGCTGGTCTGGAACTTGCAACCATCCTCCTGCCTCAGCCTCCTGAGTGCTGGGATTACAGGTGTAGGCCACTAATCTTTTCCTTTTCCATCACTGTGGGGTTCTTAATAGATTGTTATAGTACCTGTGCAAACCTTGCATTTCATCAGTCCACTTCATTTTGTCTCCTGAACAACTGTCAGTTCATTTTTTTCTGAAATGCAAATTTTATGTTACAGTATTCCCTAAAATTACATGCTTTGGTGGCTCCCTGGAGCTCTCAGGATAAAGTAAGTTAACAGACTTTACAACTAACCTCTGTTTTTTTTTTTTATTTTCCAGTCTTCAGTCCAGCATGTAGGCGGTGAGGTGTCAAACACTGTAACTGCACCTGGGGTGAAATCACTTCCTGTTTAACACTATTCATTTTCCTCATCTTCCAATAAACCTTTAGATCTCATCTTCCAATAAACCTTTCTGTACAATAACTGTTATATGATGACCTTTCTTTTTCTTTTTTGGTACCAGGAATCGAACTCAGGACCATGCACTTGCCAGGCAGGCACTATGCCACTGAGCTACATCCTATAAGAAATTGGTCCAGGGATTTAGCTGAGTGTATAAGTGCCTAACTGGCAAGCGTGTGGTTGTGAGTTCTATCCCTGGTGCTGCAAAAAAAAGAAATAGTGATATTATAAAAAATGCTGTTTTTATACTCTTTTTGTCCAGTATCTAGCACAGACTCTGGCAACAGTAATAATTCTCAGCTCATAAACTAAATTTTGTATTACATAAACTAGTTTGGCATTCTGAGCTTGTGGATTATGTTTTGTATCTGTTAAAATGTTTACATTTGTAATGAAATCAGCCCTTTTCTTTTAGGCAACTAATAGCATCGTGTCTGTTGTTTTTGGTACTCGAAGAATTGCATGGGCTCACCTTGATCGTAAATTGACAGTGCAGGACTGGCACCATACTGACTATTGGAAATTAAAGAGTAAAACACGCCCAGCATCAGTTTATTTAGAAGAGGTAAGGTAGCTGCACCTCCAAATTCCTGTTACTTGGGTAGCTTCTTATGTAGTTTAACCTAGTACAAAAGAAATGTGATAAGATTAGTAAGAATGGATTTTCTTTTGGTAGTTATTAAGCACTGGTATTGCTTCTGTCATCTTTTTCAATTAGTTCAAAAAATCAGATGTTGAAAAAAATCTGGTATATTATAAAGCTTATTTTTTAAATGTTATCACTTGTCTCATTAAGACATTGAAAATCTTGTGAAATGGGCAGATGAAAAATTATCCTGATTTTACATATGGAAACTGTTGTTCAGTCAAGCATCTAAGACTAGTTATTTACAGAAATGACTAATTTGATTTTTGTCTTTTTTTTTTTTTGAGATGGGGACTTTATGTTGCCCAGGCTGCCTTCAATTCATAATCTGCCATCTCAGCCTCCTGAAGAGCTGGGACTATAGGCATGTAGTGCCATTCCTGGCCCTTGACTAACTGTCCTGGCCTTATGTTCTACCCTAGAATTTATTTACTTTTTATTATTATTATTGCAGTAAAGTGCCCTGAACCTTTTCATTGACCTACATCCTCAGACATTTTTTCTTTTTGAGACAGGTTATCACTGAGTCATTAAATTACTCAAACTTGCCATCTTCCTGCTTTTACCTCCCAGTGTTGGGGATTATAGACATGGGCCACCACAATGAGCTACACTAGGATACTTTAATGATTAATAAAATAATTTTAAATTGTCTAAATTTTTTTTGGTACCAGGAGTTGAACTGAGGACCTTGTACTGCGCCACTGAGCTATATCCCTTGTCCAAATTGTCTAACCTTAAAGATTTTTAAGATTTATGAATCTCAGAGCTGGGACATGCCTATAATCATAGCACTCAGGAAGCTGAGACATAAGGATCCCTGTGGAGTTCAAAGCTAGGCTAGGTTATTTGGTGGGTTGAATACCAGCCTAAACATAGTGAGAGTCTGTCTCAATAAATAAACAAACAAATAAATAAATGCATGTACGGTGGCTCAGCTTTATATTCCTAGCACTCCAGAGGTTGAGGCAGGCAGATTGCTGCCAATTCAAGGCTAGCTTGAACTACATAGTGGGACCATCACAAGAAACCAAGAAAAATAATTACGAAGCCTATGTAACAGATGAAGATACTAGTACAGTACTCAGGAGAACCTAACAGCTTCTTTTGCTCAGCTTGTTTCTGGTAACCATGCCGAGAACTTAGCTGCCCATAAATGTTTGTTCAGTTATTTCAGAATTGTCAGCCATAATGAAAGATATCTAATTATGATAGTTTAAAATAGGACAAAAAGAGAATTCAAACATAAAAACTACATTATTTCTGCTTATTTTGTTTTTTGTTTTTGTTTTTTAAGATTTCTTCAGTCATTTCAGAGATGCCAAAAGCAGATTTCTATGTTCTGGAAAAGACAGCACTTTCGATTCAGAACGCAACTCTGTTCCCCATTCTGTTACACTTTCATACTACAGAAGCCATGCTATATGCCCTACTAAATAAAACTTTTGCCCAGGATGGTCAGCATCAGGTACTGAGCATAAGTCGAAATGCAGTAGGGAAGCACTTTGAACTGATGATTGGTGACTCTCGGACTAGCGGAAAAGAACTAGTCAAACAGTTCCTCTCCGAGTCTGTACTGAAGGCGGAGCCTCGGGTGTTCTTCCCACGGGATAAAGTAGTACACTACAGAGAGAAATTTTTATCTGATTCACACAGAATAGAAGAATTATATGATTCATTATTACAAGCTGTTGCTTTCTATGAATTAGCAGTTTTTGGCACTGAGTCTTAGAATTCTGAGTTAATATAACTCCTCTAATGTTACATTTATAAACTAAATTTGTAAAACCAGCTATTCTGAACACCCATATTAAAGTTAGACTTGGCTGCAGAATATACCGAATAATGCAAGACCAAATCAATAAATTTTTTAAGAGGCTATGCCTTTTGGTTTTAAGTATTAAACAGTAAGGATACCCTCCAAACCACCAAAATAAGAAACAAAAGTTATCTCCCTTTCAATGCAAGTGTCAGGCAACCGATTCAGGGCCCCTCCTGTCTCTCAGGCGCTATTCCTATTCCCCATTCCTTTTTCCCCCAATAAATTTTCCTACTCTTAAAAAAGAAAAAAAAACCCCAAATATCTGCATTATTCTAAGAACAGGGAATGAAGATTTTTTTATGGGTGTGTTTATGAGAATAAAGTTAGAAAATTGGTAACACAACTTGTCGATGCTTCTTATTTTCTAGGTAGAATAGGCAGTTTTCATCAGTTCAGACACATTTGTCCCAGAGCAAACTTGGTCTAAGAGACTCATTTTCCCACTTTAACAGACCTTTTTCTTATACCAGAAATTGAACTCAGGACCTTGCACTTGCCAGGCAGGCACTTATGCCACTGAGCTATAGCTGGGGCCCCATTTTGATACGAAAGCCTCGCTTTTGGTACCAGGACTCAAACCTAGGGCCTCACACTTGCCAGGCAGCCATTGTGCCACTGACCTTTACCTCCCCAGCTGACAGACTTTTTTCAGGTTAGAATCTTGCTTTTGGGGGGTGGGTACCAGGGATCAATCTTACGACCTCACACTTGCCAGGCAGGCGCTTGTGCCACTGAGCCATATCCCTGGTGACAGACCATCCTTTGATAAGTGTTTCATGTGATTTTTTTAACACCCCTCTCAATTTTCCATTATGTCTGCCTTAGTTCAGGGCCTCATTGTAGCTCTTGTACTGAACCAATCTCCTTGCTATCAGAGTATTAAATCTTCCCTTAACCCAAAAGTCAAGTATACTTGTTGGGAAGAAAAATATTCAGATAACCACAAGTGTATATATACAACAGGAAGTGAAAGTCCTGCCACACTAGCTGCTATATGCTTGATTTGCTGCCATGCACATTAAGCCTCCACCCTTACGTGTGTTCTTGGCCTTAAACTATTCAAGTTTAGGGCTGGGGATTTAGCTCAGTGGCATAAGCACCTGCCTTGCAAGCAGGTGGTCATGAGTTTGATCCCTGGTACTGGAAAAAAGAGAGAGAGAAAAAAAACTATTCAAGTCTAAAAGGAAATTATTCTCTTTGCCTCCAAACTAGCACCTTTGTTGTTCTTGTTTACGTTGGCAAATACTGCAAAGACATCAACATTTGTTTTTTTTTTTTTTCTTTAGACAAGGTCTTTATTATAATACAGTTCAGGCTGGGATCCTCCTGCATCAGCCCCAAGTGCTGGGATTACAGATGTAAACTACCTAGGCTGGCCTCCTCCTCCTCCTTTAAAATGCTCACTACAAAGCAAAACATCCTCAAATTATACTAAACCTGAAAAGACCAATCAGAGTTATCCTATTCAGGAGGAAAATACCCCCATCATTTTTTTATTTTAAAAAAAAGTACTAGGGAGCACTAAACTGCATATTTGCTCAGCTCTTTTTTTATTTTTATATTGAGTTGATCTCCCCAAGTTGCTCAGACTAGCTTTGAACTTGTGATCCACCTGCTTCAACCTTCCAAGTAGCTAGATTACAGCTGTACATCATCACACTTTGCTTATTTATTGATTTGTAACCACTTGAATACAGTTCTATGGTATTATTTTACTTCTGTTGAGAATTGTCAGCTTTTTAATAATAAAACACCTAATTAAGAGAGGAGGGCCTACAGAATAAAAGTCAGTAGAAAAACAGGTGAGTGCACTTAAAGCTTCAGAAGACACTGTTCTCTCTTCTGTACAGGAACAAAATCTGTAAGATACAGGCTATATACAAATCTGCACAATATACATATTTATGATGTGTTTCTTGGGCTTCTATTTAAATCCTACATAATTAGGCTTTAGCTTTAACCTTTAATTAGATCAGTATACTAATTGACACAAGAAAAGGTAAGTTGAACAAATAAGAGGTAAAAACATCTTACACATATTTAAAAACAAGTTTGCATCTATTTTTAAAAACTACAAAATTAGGATCCTTTTTAGTTAAAGTACAATTCAGTAGATAATGTATCTGAAATATTAAGCTATAATACAGACATTTGAAATACAGTGATTTTAAACCTGATTATCTGATTACAACATGATATTTTAAGATCTTATTAACCAGAGTTACAATATATACATTTTCCCCCAAAAAAACATGAACCTTCTGGGTGTGGCAGCATACATCTGTAATCTTAATTACTTGTAAACTGAGTGAGGTTGCAGGATTGTGTGAGCCCACCTGTGTGGGACCAGCCTGGGTAACAGCAAGATTGTCTCAAAAACAAAAGCAGGGCTTGGGATGTAACTCAGTGGTGGAAAGCTTGCCTCACATGTCCAAGGTTCTAGGTTTAACCCTCAACACGAGAAAATGAAGAAAACATACATAGAAATGGTTAGAATAAAAAATCATACGGCAGAATTATCATGTATACCAGTTTTAGTGACCAGCAGCTTGTCCACAATGGACATATTAATGCCAGTAATATTATTGTGAAACATAGAAAGACAAGAAAAATTTATGAAACAAGTGACTTGAGTTGGCAAAATACACAGGTATCACCTACATAGGGGTACTAAAAATAATTTATGAAAACTTATTCAGAATGTTGACTCAATGGTAAGTATGCTGGGATGTTTTCATAAGCATTGCATATGTAATTTTTTTTAAAAAAATTCTGACTTGTGTAAATTTATTTTAAAAAGATCACCGTCTATGTGCTTCATATTTTCAGTCTCAGAGAACTGATTTGGAGAGAGCTGGGTAGAGGGTAATAGAAAAGGGAAAAAATATAACATTAGTTTAGCACTATATCTTTAGAAATACCTTAGTGAACTCTACTTTCTAGAAACAGTTCATTCATATACCAAAAATATACCAACAAAGTAAAATTAGATACTATAAAAAAATTCAGGAAAAACTACAATTATATACAATTTATAATTCAAATTTTTTCATTTTAAATATCTGCACAGCAATAAAAATTACAATCTCTTTTAAATGTACATTAACAGAAATGAACACTTCCATGAGAGTCAACATTATACAACAACGTATCTCAAGCACCACATAATTTGTATGAAGCAGAGTAAATGCTCAATATTAAGGGAAGTCAGCTGCCAAACTATTCACAGTCTCTTTCGGAATGTCCAGATGAATTCCTTCAAAATAGTGCAGGAACCTGTCAAGATCACAAAGAAAAATATAATTTAATATTTCCACCTGATGAGAATATTTACTAAGTTTGACATAGTTATATAAATGTTTTGCTTTTTATAGCTTTTACCTTCTTTTACATTTGTCTTGTTCTTTTAGCTTCTCAGTCCTGCAAATGTTCCGGAGAGTTGGCAGGTACTCAGTTATACTGGCTTGTCTATTACCTACATTCAGTAGAGATCGACTTGAAAATACACTTTTAATGACTGCTATCCTCTTCCAAGCATTGCTATAAATTAAAAGTAATGTGTTAATTTTTATTTTAAATGCCTCATAAAAATACAATAATCGCAAACAACTAGTTTGCCTGCCTCTGGTCTAGACTAGACAACACTTAGGTTAATATCCAATCAACACATTAAACACACCCATACTGAAAAGTCTTAACTGGCTACCTGCTGTTAAGAAAAGTCCAAACCTCTTATTTGAGGGTTTCCTAAATCTAGCCTGCCCTAATCTTTCTAGCAATCATGCTGGTCTCCTTAACACATTAGAAGCTACACTATTAATTTTAAGTGCAGCATTTTAAAATTAATAAAGGGGCTGAGGATATAGCTCAGTGGCATAAGCACCTGCCTGGCAAGTGCAAGGTCCTGAGTTTGATTTCAGGTACCCAAAAATAAAACTAACAATTTTCCCTTTGTCATTTATTACTTAGAAATAAAAGTAAGGGGCTGGGGATTTAGCTCAGTGGCATAAGCACCTGCCTTGCAAGCCAGGCGGTCGTGAGTTCGATCCCCGGTACTGGTAAAAATGAAAAAGAAAAAAAAAACAAAAAAAAAACCCAAGACTTACTTCAAATTAGCTGCTGATTGGCTAAAGCATACATTATTATGTTTTTGTGAAACATAAAAAGTAAGCTCGTTGGTTGGATCTTTTCCTAATTTCTTGCAAGAATTCAAGGATTCCAATGCCTTTGAAATAGTAGAAGAACATTTAATAAAGCTGAGCGCTTGTATAGCTGCCTTTAATTCTGCAGAGTCTTGAGAAGTCCGCACATCACCACTCTCCATACTAAATTCATCGCAGAGGCCACTTTTAACCTTTTCACTTGTCCAACAGAAGTCATATTTACCAAGTTCCTTCTGTTCCCTTGTATCAGTTAAGAAGGCATCTAAAAAGGACATGTTATCCATGAACTCAGTGAGCGAACTTAAACAATGAGAAACAAGGACAGAGCATTGTTTCTCTGCTGATGTTTTAGGAGGACAAGGAATAGATTCAATGTCAGACTGTGAATACTGGTTTAGATTCCTTCTCTTTGGATTGTTTTCTTTGCGTGTGGCTTTGCTTTCTTCTAAATCTGAGGAAGACACATGGGATAGGTTAGTAAATTCATCAGAAAAGTCCAATCCAGTGTCAAATAAGTCACTGTCATCTAGTGTCACCATCTTTTTCTTACGTTTCCTTTTCTGTGACTTTTTCAATGGCTGCTCTCCTTCAGAACATGTCCTGACAAGACATTTCATACTTCTGGTTGTTGCATTGGCGTCTGCAGTTACAGATGAGCCACAAAGGCTTTTTGTTTCTGGAATAATACCAACTGGTAATGGCAGGATGAATTCAAGATTACTAAATAAAAAATCTATTTTCTGTATGTGGAATTCCGTGAGAAGCTGGATGAATTTATGCCATTCGCCCTTCGTTGTGATTTTATGCTGAAAGCAAATTTTAAGTAAACAAATGTTATAATAGTACATGGTTTGAGCATTTTTCTATCATATGAATATAATGTCCCTATTCTGAGTCATTAATACTCAGAATGGATAATAAAATTATCTTACACATAACTACTAAAATAGTAATGTTTCTAAAAACTAAATTTATACTGCTAATTTGGAGAATTAATACTTATCTATCTAGTATATACTTCAATATATACTATGTACTGCAATTCAGTAATTAGGTCATTTATTTAAAAAGTTTGAAATTGTGTTTTGATCTGAAAAGGGTCTAGTCTATTCTAAATCCTATATTAGGCATTTAGAACAATGTCTATGTACCATTTGTCAAAGTGGTGAAATGTGTTAAAATTGGAAATCTAAAATCTGTAAAAATTATATAAGCAATTTAAGGTAAACATAAGATTCAAAGCGTTAAGTGTTGGGAAAATAAAAAGAAATGTAAATTCAACTTTCCAAGTAGACAGTGAAAATACCTTTAAAAACGAAAATAAATCTTCAGATGGAGAAAAAATGTTCTTGACTCCAAAGAAGGTCTCAGCACAGCCAGTGTCACATCTGGGAAGGACTATTCGATTCTTTTTAGTATTTTTAGTGTTATTTTTGGACTCAGGGCCATCTTCAGTGTAAACTAGTACATTTCGGCTATTTCGTCCTATAAAATTAATTAAAAAATTTCCAGCTATACATATTCTAAACAAATTGTATCAAATAATTATCGTAAGTATGAGATCCTTTGCACCTTTTGCATGTATACCCCAATTTTGTTCTTTATATCCTGAATTCACTAAGAGTATAATATAAACATTTATTGTAATAATACCTAAGCTAAGTGTAGTAATAGGGAAGAAATCTCACAAAACAGTGGCAAAAAAAAGGCAAGGGCTCAACAGGCAAGTCATAGAATGAAGAGATCTAGCTACAAAAACAGAAAAAGAAACAAAGATGCAGCCAGGCATGGTGGTACACACTTGTAATTCCAGCATTCAGGAGGCTGAGGCAGGAGAATTGCCCTGAGTCTGAGGCCAGTCTGGACTACCCTTGTGCTGAAAAGCAAATTTCAAGTAATTTGACCCCACGCCCAGCACCCTCAAAAAGATCTACCCTGACTCCAACCTACCCTCCTTTACAGAAACTGCCATGAGCAAAGTTGACATATGTTACGGGTTGTACCTAGATGTACTGTTTTACACAGAATATAAAACAGCGAGAGGACCACCACTGCCACTGCTTGTCCTGTGCTGTTTCGCTGCTTTGCTGCCTTCTGCCTGCAATGGACTGATTGTCTCCTCTGTGATGCCACTCTGCCTTGGAGTCAGTCAGCTGTGAGCTGAAACCTCTACGAACTGTGAACCAACATAAACCTTTCCTCTTTTAACTTTGGATGTCAGGTGTTTTGTCTTAGCAATGAGTAAAGCAATTAGGATAACATATATACATACTTTGAGGATTGGCATGATACTTGAACACTAAAGAATTAAGTCTTTCAAATAGTTTAGTATAGCTAGATACGGTGGCACACACCTGTAATCCTAGCACTCAGAAGAATCACTCACTGCAAGGTCGAGGTCAGCCTGGGCTGCAAAGTGAGGCCCTGTCTCAAAAACCAACCCCTGGCCCCAGCAAAAAATGGTTTAGTGTAGTATACCATACATTTAAAAATAAAAATAAGGTCCTATAAAAGAAATTTCTTTTAGAATAGATCAACTTACCAGAATGAGATAGTGGCCTTTCTTCTAAAAATCCACCTCCACTTCTAATCCAAAACTGTAAGTAAAGGATACTTCTTCTGATATCACAAGCATTTGCAGTTAACAAGGTGACAAAGTCTCTTACATCAGTTCTGAAATTTTCAGTTAAGCAGATCATTTGTAGGTAGCTGGCAACATTTAGCTAAGAGAGAAGGAGGAACATGTTGAGTTGCAAAGTTCATAAAAATACAACAAAAATAATTTTGAACAATATCTAAAAGTGAGACAAATTTTGCTACAATTCACAATACTTTACAACTCTTTGAGAATAAAATTATTCTTAAAAATTATAAGAGACTGATTTCGAGACCAGTCTGGACTACATAGTGTGTTCAAGAGCAGCATAGTGAAATTTTGCTTCAAAAAGAACTGGGTGTGGTGACACAACCTTATAATCTTTGCACTTGGGAGGCTGAGGCAGGAGGATTACTATGGATTTGAAGTCAGTCTGTGAGCTACACAGTGAGTTCAAGGCCAGCCTAAATTATAAGACTGTGCCTCAAAAAAAAATTATTATGTATAGTACAGGACAACAAAGATACTTTTACCAGAGATTCCCCAACCTGAACACTGGTGACAGTTTTATAAAACTGGAAAAAGCCCTTAGAATTGTTTTCTTTTTTGGTACCGGGAATTGAACTCAGGAGCTTGCATTTGCTAGGCAGGTGCTGTGCCACTGAGCTACATCCCTGGGCCAGGATTAAGTAATTGTATGACTCATATGGAATATTTTATAGGTATCAAAAATATGAATACTACTGTAATAGTACTGAAAAACATTTAACTCTCTAAAACTACAATTGGAAAATTAATGAATGCAGACTAAACATGGTGGATCTATAATCCCAGCCCTTGGGAGTTTAAACAGAAGAATCACTGCAAGTTCGAGGTCAGCCTGGGCTATGCTGCAAGACCCTGTCTCAAAAATAGAAAAAAGATGAGCAACAAAAGGGAATAATAGTTACTTCTGAAAAGGTTGACTATAAGGTCTCACAGGAACTTTTGGAGGCGACAGAAGTGTGGTATATTTTAATCTGGGAGGGAGATTACACTGGGTCTTTCATATGTTAACCTTCATTAAGCAGAAGAATACAGTACATGCAAGGTTTTTTGGGGGGAGTTTTTGTTTGTTTGTTGTTTTTCTGGTATGGGAAATCAAACTCACGATCTTACACTTGCCAGGCAGGCACTCTGCTGCTGAATTATATCCCTGGCCCTAAGTGTAAGTTTTAATTGTATTTAAAACTTAATGGCACCAGGGATGTAGCTCAGCAGCACAGCACCTGTCTGGTAAGCCACTGTCCTGAGTTCAATTCCTGGTACAAAAAAAAATTATCTTAATAAAGTACTGTTAGTAGAATAACAACAAATGAACATTGGAATTGAGGAAAAATTTAAATGTCTGAAAAAACTATTAAAACAAAATAAAAAATAAAGTTTCCTAAAGCTCAAAAATTTAACACATCCCTTAGTAAACACATTTTAAAATACTGTAACTAAATTGAATTTAAAAAATCATGTGTTACATAATTATGATATATAATTTATTAAAATCCAAAACTTACCAGAGAAGGAGTACTGAAATTGATTTCTTCAAAGTTGCCATCAAACATTGAACTAAATGTTGAATCTACAGAAGAGACATTTTTAAAAAATACTAAGAGCACTAAATATTGTGAAAACATTCAGCATTTCATCAGTAATGAAAGTGCAGTAGTTTTCCTTTATCTGGTTTTGCTTTCTGCAGTTTCTGTTACTGCAGTCAACCAATTTTTAAATGGAAATTGATCAGTGATCCTTTCTTCCAGTGTCCCCAAGCTCTACATCTTTCTGCCCCTTGGTCACTTAGCCTTCTTTGTAGCAAATGGGAGTTGTGTAATATTACAGTTCTGTGTTTAAGAAACCCTCATTTTACTTAGTAATGATGGTCCCAATACCTTAGTAATCATGCTGGCAGTTTTCTTACTGTAAATTATATCACTGTTCTTCTTTACTATCAGCTATTCTTAATTTTATTGTGTCTAATTTCTAAATTTATGTACGTATATATGCATAGGAAAAACAGTGCATTCAGGGTTCACTGCTATTTGAGGTTTCAGATATCTACCTGGGGTCTCAATTAAGGGAGAATGACTGTAGAATACCATGCAAATTATAAAGCCTTACATAACACCAGTGTTTATGCTGACCTAAAGTGACTACAATCTATTAATTAAACTACCACTTAATTTATGATTAATAAAATTTTTAGAGTACAGCCACTGTGATACATGCCATCAATCTGTAAGTGAAATCTAACACAAACATACGAGCTGAGCTAGCCTCCTAAATAATTGCAATGAAGAATATTACAACATACTATCACAATATTTGTAAATTTTTAAAAAATAAATTGTATGAGTTTAAATATCCAAGCTAATTCCTGAAAAAGTAAATATATTCTGTCAGGCTGGTGGTGGCTTACTTTAGCTGAAATACACAGTAATCTATATCAAGAGCTAAAGAGGAGCTAAATTCAGTATTAAGGAACTGTGGAAAGGTTGAACTCTATAACAAAGCGTGGCTACAGCCAGGCACACCTCTAATCCCTGCTACCTGGAAGATGAGGCAGGAGGATCACAAATTCAAGGCCAGTCTTAGCAACTCAGAAAGACCCTGTCTCAGAATAAAAAAAGGCAGGGCATATACCTCAGTACTCCCTCGAATTCAATCTATAACAGAAAAAAAAACTCAGCTAGTAAATGAAGTCTGGTGATCTGGTGATATAAGTATAGTGACACAAAGGCATAATATACTATTTGTGTTCTAGGCTCTTTTAGCTTTCTAAACATTTAATAACATGGTGACCCAAAGCAGTACCCATTTTTAAAAAGTCACTGTTTTTTTGTGAAGCAATAGATGAATTTTACAATTATGAAGGGCTACAAATCAATTGCAAGTTTGAATAATTCTAGGAGTAAGATCTAGGAGTTTCCCCATTTTAGAAGAAAAATGTAATCTATCAACTTTTGTTTACTGGGTATTGAACCCAGGGCCTCACACATGCTAGGCAAGCACTCTATAACTTGGGAAAATAGTGTTTTTGTGTGAGAATGTGTGTGTCTGTTTTGTGTTCAAGAAAATTTTTGTCTTGTTCTGTTTTTTTTTTTTTTTTTTTTTTTTTCAGTCAAAGTCTTGCTAAATAGCCCAGGCTGGCCTTGGACTTCCAATCCCTCTTGCCTCTGCCTCCTGAGTGCTGGGATGATAGGCTTGGGCCACCACACCCACCCTGCCCAAACTCTTGAGCTCAAGCAATGCTCCTGAGATCCAGTGTCCCAAGTAGCTGAAGCTGCATGAGTGCTTGCTCTATCCAGCCTATTAACTGACTTTTAAAGAAGCTGTTCTAAGTAAAATTAAAAGCTTTCTGGTGAAACCCAACACATTTTAACAAAAAGTAATTAATTGTACTAAAATTATTTTACCTACCACTTGTTGTAAGGATTACAGGTCGTTTAGTTGTTGCCATAAATGTTTTGACTGCATTCAGAAACCCAGCATCTTCATCAAAAATGACATCAACCTACAAACCATTTATTACAGTATTAATATAATGAATAACAAATACTGGATATCAGTTTACATGTTAGCTATGTGTCAGACAAAATTTAATTTTTGAAAAATGTGAATACAGCCCACACTTAAAGCCTGTTTTATACCACAAAAGAATATTTTTTTTTTTGTCTTTTTTCCTTTTTATCGGTACCGGGGATCGAACTCACAACTGCCTGCTTGCAAGGCAGGCGCTTATGCCGCTGAGCTAAATCCCCAGCCCCCACAAAAGAATATTTTAAATTATCAACTATTAAGCATTAAATTTAAAAAATTACAGCCACTTATAGCTAGGTAGGTATAACTCAAAATTATTCTTTTTTCTGGGAATCGAACTCAGGACCTTGTACTTGCCAAGCAGGCACGATGCTGCTGAGCTACATCCCAGGCAATAATTTCTATAACCATTAAATCACAATTCATAACCTTAATTGCATTAATCAGCTTCCTAAAAATTTCTCCTAGATGGGGCCAGAGATTTAGCTCAGCACTTAACCACCTGCCTGGCCAAGCATAAAGTCAGCATCAAAAAACAAAAACAAACACAAAATTCTCCTAGAGTTAACAGTTTTATTCATTTTAATTTTAAATAAATATGTAACTGTTACTGGCTTTCTTAGTTATAATCCTTTATTAAAAACACATAGTAAGGCCAGGTGTAGTAGCACACACCTGTAATCCCAGCACTTGAGAGGCTGTGAGGCAGGAGGATTACTGTGAGTTTGAGGCCAGACTGGGCTACAGAGTGAGTTTAAGGCCAGCCTAGACTGCACAGTAAAACCCTGCCTTAAAAAGACAAAAAAACAAAACAAAAATCATATAGTAAATTAGGAGATACCATGGTAGTGTCCTCTAAGCCTACCTCCTCAAAAAGAATGAGAGATGTTGCACTTTTCCTCTTGTGTTCTTCAGGTCCAACTTCTTTGGCATTTGAATTCACTGAATTTGTAGATTTAGTCTGACCAATTTGCTTCTGTTCCAAAGAATTTTTGATTCCTGGATAAACAGAACATTAAAACTTTTGATAGAAGTCAACTTTTAATGGCAACACTGGATATTTTCACAGATAAACTGAATTCGCTTATCAAAACTGAAACAGAACATTAAAACTCCTGTATGTAAGACTTTAATGGAACTGAGGTTTAATAAAAAGCAATAGGAACTTGGCTGGACCTGGTAATACATGCCGATAATCCCAGCACTTGAGAAGCTGAGGCAAGAGGACCACTACAAGTCTGAGGCCAAACTGGGACATAGTGAGTTTAAGGCCAGCCTAACGTACATGGTAAGATCAAAGATCCTGTTTCAAAAACAACACAAAACAACAGCAACAAAAAAACTCATGAAAAATACCCATACTTTTATGCATATTTAAAAGGTCAAATTTATTTTATCAGTTTAATGTTTTACCTTTATCATTTCTGAGAAGTGTGTCTATTTCTCCATTATTTTTGGGTTTAGAAGATACTTTAAAGTAATTTGCCAGTGTTTTAGGGGGAAGTGCTCTCTTCTGTCCAGTACTTTTTGGTGATGATGGAGGAAGTTTTCGTGGTGATGTAACAACTTTCTTCGGGGAGTTTAATTTTTCTACAAAAAACAAATTGCATTTAATATTTAAGAGTAAACACTCTAAAAATTATACAGATGACAAGATAGTGTTATTTGTATTTCTACTTCTACCAGGTAAAAATTAAAGATACATTTTCTTTTATCCGTACATTAAAATATCTGTGCACTCAAATACTACTGTACTGGATTTATATTAGCTGTATAGGAAGATAGGTCAATTATTTGAAATGACACTTTTTTCCAAAGAAACAGACATTTTGAACAAATAATGGTCGCAACCCTCCTCTAACTCTGTCTACCTGAAGTCAGCAGAGGCTGGAGGAAAAATAACAGTATGTACTGAGCTTATTACAGAACGTTATTGTCCAACTTCAACTTAGACATATAGTTATGACAAATAAAACAGTATGCATTTCTAAAGATTCTTTGAAGGATGGAGACATACTAAATATATGGCTGGACTCTACTCTTCAGAAGATTTAAGGCATTTATTCTAAAGCCCATGTTCTTTTTTCTATTCTAAGTACCTTGAGTTAGTCCTTACATGTCCTAATTATATGTACCAAGAGTAAGATCTCCCTCACTTAACATCTTACATATACAATATCCTGACTATATCTTATTCTTTATTCCCCCTCAACTGCCATAGATTTTTATCATATCCCTTACCTATTACTTACTGAGTAAAATAAACTTCCTAAAAAATTTGAAAGTTATAGACATCAACATTGTTTTATTTTTAAAAATTTCAAAACTATAAGAGATGAAAAATCAAGCCCAGGCTGGTCTCAAAAATTTGCAACAATCTTTCTGCCTCAGCCTCCTGAGTGCTGGGATTACAGGCATGTGCCTCCATGCCCAACATGAGATACAAAATCAGGATAAGCATTTTTTCTTTAGATCAAATAGGTATGTTTTTAGTTTTCTTTTTGTTTTTTGATTTTTTTTGGTACTGGGAATCAAATTCAGGATCTTGTTCTTGCCAGCTAGGCGCTGTGCCACTGAGCTAATTTTTTGGCCCCAAATAGCCATTTATTTGTAAGAAGCACTCACTCGTTTGTTTTGACAGATCAAGGATTGCTTGATCAGACTGGTATCAGTCCAAAAAACGGTTGTTGTTTTAAAACATATGTCAGCTTTTATTTTAAAATGATTAAATTTTAAATTTTAAATTTTATTAATATGTTTTTAAAAAAACTTTACACAAAAATCACTCCTTCAGAGAAACAGATAACTAAATATTGCTCAAAGGACAAAGATCGATTAAAATGGTTCCCTACTAGCCAAAGATGAGAATATATGAGGACTAAAAGAGATTCTCCCAACATACAGATTCTCCCTCCCATACATAACTGGGACTGTATTTACCCTACCATCTGAAATAACAATAAAAAGGAAAACGAACATAATATATGAAACAAAATTTTTCAAGATTTTGGCCATTATCCAACAAAGGACAGTGATTCACAAGATCCAGGAAATAAACAAGGTAAACACCTTGTTGGCTTATGGCTTTGCATGAATATCAGAGTGGTAAAAGGTTTTCCTGAGTCAAGGAGATTATACTAGTTATCTGGGGAAACCAAGGTGGACAGAAATCACAGGATGGAACATATAAGATGAGACAGCTGTGCAGAGCGTTCTAGAAATCTGCAGGATCTTCTCAAGTGTTTTAGCCTTCAGTGGTGAATTTTTACTTGGTTTCTTTTTTGAGGCAAGCTTTTGCTAAGCAGCTCAGGCTTCCATTGAATTCACTTTGTAGCTCAGGCTGGCCTCAAACTAGCTACAATCCCCCTGCCTCAGCTTCCAGAGTGCTAGGATTATAGGCATGTGCCGCCACACCTGGCCATTAGTGAAGTTCTAGAAAAAACAATTTCTAAGGCTCACAGAGACACCTTTCCACCAAACAAAGTAGAAAGCATTATCATTAACAATGCATAGGCCAGGGGACTCAAAGTTTTACCTGAGTAGTTCAGAATTAACTGAAGTATAAATGTTATTATCTTACCCAGTACATCTTAGAAGACCTAAAAGAACAATTATTTCCCAGTAACTGAATTGTATTATACAAGGTCAAGGATAGTTACAGGACTTAAATAGCTAGCATCCAATGAAGTAAAGTATACAAAGTCTGACATGCAATCAAAATTATAAGGCATCCAAGGCAGAAAAATATAATCAAGAGAGAAACTAATGAATTGAAAAGCCATCTCAGATATGTCAGATAGCCAAGCATGGTGGCATGTACTTGTAATCATAGTACTTGGAGATCCTGAGGCAGGAGGATGGCCATGAGTTTGAGGTCAGCTTGGGCTACATGAATTGAAGTCCAGACTGAACTTACATGTATGAATGTTATTATAAAGTATCCCATATGTTCAAAAATGTAAAGACTGAACCCATGATAAGTGGAAACACTAAAATATTTTAATAATAATAATTATTCAAACTGAAATACAACACCAGAACACTGACCCTGTCAAAAAAAAACAAACCAAACAAAAAAAGCACAAAGGAGACAGGACAGAAAAAATATTTTAAGAAATATGGAAACTCAAAACACATACACAAGAATCACAAGCCCCAAGTAGAAGAAACATAAAGGAAACTACACTATCTTAATCAAATTGTTTAGGGGTTGGGGATTTAGCTCAGCAGGCATAAGCGCCTGCCTTGCAAGCATGCAGTCATGAGTTTGATCTCTGGTACCGATAAAAAAAAAAAAAAAAAGACTACATAATCAAATTGTTTAAAACCAGTGATAGAAAATTTTTAAATAGCAGTGGAAAATGAACACAAACAATTGAAACATTAAATATACACAAGTTCATGAGTTCATAACAATCTTTGTAAAAAAATAAATCTTTGTAAAGTCTACAAAAAAAAAACCACCAAAAACACCTCATTGATTGCTGAATCTAGTTCTGCACATCTGTAATTCCAGCTACTCAGGAGGCTGAGGGAGAAGGATACCAAGTTTGAGGATAGACTGCACACGTTAGTGAGATCTCATCTCAAAATAAAATTGAAAAAGAGCGAGGGTATAGCTCAGAGGTAAAGAACTTGCCTAGTGTGCATTTAGCCTTAGATTCAATCCCCAGCACCACATACACAAAAACCAAAACTCACTGGGCAGTTGTGGAGTTTATACAACACCATGGCTCTAAGAACTAAAAATTAAAGGGATGAATGAAACATCTCTCATACCTGCAAACTGTATTTCAAAATAGTTGATGAGAACAGCACTTCTCAGAATTTCAACTAATACAGGCAAAAAATCTGAGAGATACACAAAAACACTAGACAAAGATCTCTTAACACCTGCCAAATACCATTATAAGAGAGTAGTGAGAGTAGTGGATTTTATAGTGAGTGAATCAGAATAAAATTATCTGAACTCATTAGTTAGTGGGGTTTTTTTTGGTGGTGGTGCTGGGGATCGAACCCAGGTCTTTAACACAGAACTACATCCCCATCCCTTTTTAAAATTTTTTAGGATCTTAATATGTAATCTAGGCTGGCTTGAATTTATGGCAATCTTTCTGCCTCAGCTTTCCAAGTGCTGGGATTACAGGCATGTGTCACCATGTCCAGAATGGGCTTGGAATTTTGATCCTCCTACTTCAGCCTTCCAAAGTACTGGGATAACATCTGTGTGCTATAATCAACTTTTTAATCGATGTATAAGAAATAAACTAGAAAAGAAAATAATACCATTTACAATAACATTAAATACATGAGTCAGGCATGTAGCACATACCTGTATTCCTTGCTACTTGGGAGGCTGAGAGAGAAGGATAGGAAGTTCAATACCAGTGCCACTAATCAATCTTAGTATCAATAAAAGTGATAAGTGACTCCTGCCTTGATATCACAGGAAGCATAAGCTGATTCAGATATGCCAGCTACAAAAAAGAGAACCTAAACCTATTCAGCCTCATAGATCTAGCTACCAGTTTATAAAAAACACAGAGAAGAGGATACTGTTACTTTCAGGATACCATCATCCACCAAATTCAGAATGTCTATTACAAATGACTCAGGTTCTTCAGCAAATAAAACAACATGACTACAGGTAACAGAAATTAAAGGTTTAAAAGAGTCGGGCATAGTGGCACACATGCCTGAAATCCCAGCACTCGCGAAGCTAAGACAGGAGGATCACTGCCAGTTCAAGGCCAGGCTAGGATACGTAGTGAGATCAAATCCAGCCTGAACTACATAGCAAGACCCTGTCTCAATACAAGCACACAAACAAAAAGTTTAAGAGACATTAATCAGGGCCAGGGATTTAGTTCAGTGGCATAGCACTGCCTGGCAAGCCTGAGGTCCTGAGTTTGATTCCTGGTACCAAAAAAAAAGAGAGACATTGAAAGTAAAATATGATCTTATTTGGATCCTTATTTGAATAAACCAAGTGAAGTAACAGAAAACTGAAATCAGATTGTGTATTAGATGACAAGAATATACTTAATTTTATTATATCTGATTATGCTACTTTAATTACTTTTAAAATTGATTTTACTGGTACATTTTAGATATACATAATGATACTGTCATAGGGCCAGGGATATAGCTCAGTAGCATAGCACCTGCCTGGCAAACCGAGGTTGTTAAGTTGGATTTCTGTTACAAAAATTAAGAAAGAAAAATTATTTGACAATATCATAGGGAATTTGAACCTATACATGATAGATCTTAGTTCTCTTTTTTTTTTTTTTTTGTCTTTTTCCTTTTTATCGGTACCAGGGATCGAACTCACAACTGCCTGCTTGCAAGGCAGGCGCTTATGCCTCTGAGCTAAATCCCCAGCCCCAATCTTAGTTCTTTATAATTATGCTTTTTGAAAAGTCCTGACTGGTTAGAAATATATACTGAATAGGGTATACATGTATACTTATACTGTATACATGTATACTGAATATACATGTATAGGGTAAAATGGTCTTCAGATTATTTTAAAGGTCCAGGAAAACTACTTGATAACCTGGGACAGAAAGATCTCAATTTTGAGGCCAGTTTGGTCAACTTAGACCCTGTTTCAAAAAAAAAAAAAAAAAAAAAAATACTCAGGATATAGCTCAGTGGAAGGGCTTAAGTTCAATACACATGACTATGAAAAGAGGAAAAATAAAAAGCATGAACATCTGTGCACAGGAAAACATAGAAAATGAATAGGAAAATACTGGTAATTAAAACTATTTCTCATATTTTATTACTTACTTGGTGACTTGCCTATACTGTAGTTATTAAAAAAACAGGGTTTTTGTGCATTTACACCTTGTTTGTCTACTTGATGGGACTGAGTAGCTTCTTTAAGTTGAGACAAAATTTGTCTACCACTGCGCTGGGAGGAGGCATTCACTTCAAATATCTACAAGAAGTGAAAAAAAGACAGAACATTTATGTTTTCTGATAACAGTAATTATTACACCCATATCTCCCACCGTCCCTGCCACTAACCTTGAATCCAAGCTCCTGTGCACAAGCGTACACTGCTGCAGTTTTCCCGATTCCTGTTGGCCCTGTTATAAGAACAGTGTTGCAAAGATGGCTCTCTTCATCTGAACTGCCTTGAAAATCTATGCTATCAGGAAAATCTGAAAAAGTATCCAAATGAATATAAAGTGATTAGACCTTAGGAAATAATTCTATTTCATGAAACCCACTTATTAAGTCTCTCAAATTTCTTACCAATAAAGGCTGAAAAATGAATTTATATAAGTAGAAGCCAAATATAAAATACTAATTCCTGGTGCATGCCCTCAAAATCCAGCCGTTAGAAGGCTGACTCAGGAAATCTTCGTTTGAGGCTAGCTCAGGTGAGAAAACTCTCTTTCAAAAACATGAAACAAAGGGGCTGGGGATTTAGCTCAGCAGCATAAGCGCCTGCCTTGCAAGTAGGCAGTCATGAGTTCGATCCCTGGTACCGAAAAAGACAAAAAAAAAAAAAAAGAAACAAGCTGGGCGTGGTGGTACACATCTGTAATTGCAGCAATCAGAAGACTGAGGCAGGAGGATTCTTGTGGATTCAAGACCAGAATGGGCTATCCAGAAATTCAAGGCCAATCTGAACTACATATTAAGACCCAAAAACTAGCTAATGTAATTCTAGAAGTATTTGGTGAAATAGAAATGACTCAAAATACCTTCCTGTTTCTCATCTCTTTTGCCCTTCAAATTCTGTCTCTCTTCCAATTCAGCTCTTCTTTTCCAGTCTTTTAACCAGCTGTCATAAAAAAATGCACATTAATGACAAAGTAATTCATAGAATGCAGATACCTGTTAAATCTTATATTAAAATCACTGCATTAGGGCATACTGCTTGTTTTTATGTACTCCACAGTGCCTCTAAATGAACTAAATACTAAAATGGGTATGATTATTTAAAAAATGAAATAATTTTTGCCTAAATATACATTAGTATACATGCTAGAACATTTTACTGCCATACTGTTTAAATTAGCCTCTGTAAGGAAAAACATAAAAAGTTCTTCTTAATAGGGGATAAGATATATTACGGTAAATTCACATTTAAAAACCAGTACACAGCAATTGAAAAGAACTAAGGACATTGTGTGACAACATACAGTACACCTAATATATAATGTTAAGTACAAGTGGAAAGTTTAGTTTCTAGTGTGGACCCAAACTATTTGAATGAAAATCCCAGCTCTCCTACCGTCTACCTATGTAACTTTAGATAAATAACCATTCTAGGACTGTTTCTTCATTGAAGAGATCAAAACAACAGTACTTACTCTCACAGTTCTTAGGATTAAATCAACTAAGAAAAGTGTTTGTTTGTTTGTTTGTTTACTGGATTTTTGAGATAAGGCTCTCTATGGAGTTTAGGTGAGGCTTAAAGTTACTATGTAGCCCATGCTGGACCTGAACTCAGTGGTCCTGCGTCAGTCTGCCACCACCTAGGGTTACAGGTGTGCACTCCCACACCCAGTAAACAGTGCTTAAATTCTTGGAGTGGTTCCAATTTCATGATACTGACCATTAGAATGGGTCCACAATTCCTTACATGCAATCTTTTGGCCAAATACTATAGTTTCAAAATTTACAATTTTTCACATATTAGAAAGGTAAGTTAAACACCTACTAAATGCAATTGACAAAGACTATAACAACCTCCATATAATGAAGACAATAAATTTCAGTCTTCAGAACTTTCTGTGGACCTGAATTAATAGTAATGTGATCCTACTGTTAGAAAAGATCCACTGCATATATTCAATTTTTTTTCTTTTCTTTTTTTTTTTTTTTTTTTTTTTGTCTTTTTTCCTTTTTATCAGTACCGGGGATCGAACTCACGACCGCCTGCTTGCAAGGCAGGTGCTTATGCCGCTGAGCTAAATCCCTAACCCCTCAATTTTTTTTCATATATACAATTTTTTTCTCAAAGGTTTAATAAGAAAGTTCCAATTATGGTAACCTCTGAGAAAGAGAAATGTGAGAAAACTGTTCACTTAAAATTCTTGTCTTTAAAAAACTTTTCCCATGTACTATATTACTTTATAATTTTATTACTAAATTTTAGTCTAATAGTAAAACTAAATTCATAAACTGTTTCTCAAGTTTTTACAAACATCACCAACCTATGTAACTTTTTTATAGCTGACTCATTGCCTATGAGTTCACTAGCATTCTGAGGTTGGTACTTTTCTGTCCAAAGCATGTCTTCAGTTCCACAATCTAAAGGAAAAAAAAAAAATTTTAAAAAGGTATTGTTTATTCCTTGATATAAGCATATATTCTTAGACATTTACATAATTGTTATAATGTAACAATAATTATTTGCAGAAATGTTAATGTTTTCAAAATGCCAAAAAGGTTATTGTAAAATGTAACATTAAGCTGTTATGCGCTTGCCTAACAAATGCAAGGTGGTAAATTTAATCCCCAGTATAAAAAAAAAGTATTAAAAAAATGTAACATTAAACTGAGCACGGCAGTATCACATGACTGTAATCTCAGCACTTGGTAGGATGAAGCAGAAGAACTGCTGTGATTTCGAGGCCAACCTGGCCTACAAAGTGAGTTCAAGACCAGCCTAAACTGTGTAATGAAGCCTTGTCTCAAAAACAACAATAACAACAACAAAAATTCTGTCTCAGAAAGCCAAAAATAAATAAAAATTTAAAAAATTAATGATAAGTGACTTGCCATCTCAAGTATTAAAACATACCATAAAGCTCATATAAAAATGGATGAATTAAATCAATTCAACAGAATACTTTGGGCAAAGTATTTAACGGAATGGAAATGTGTAGCAATGAGAAATACAGTATATTTGTAGTATGATCCCAGATTTTAAAAAAAGCATATGTAGCTGGCCATGGTGGCACATTTATAATCACATACTTGGGAGGCTGAGACAAGAAGACTGAAAATTCAAGCCCAGCCCTGGCAATTTAGGGACAGGCAAGATCCTGCCTCAAAGTAAAAAGTCAAAAAGATTGGGGATACAGCTCAGTGTGAAGACCCAAGGTTTAATTCTTAGTTGTACACAACACACACACACATACACACACACATACACACACACACAACATGGCATTATGTATTATGCTAGAGGTAAAGCTCGGGGGGAGAGCACGGGGTAGCATGAACAAAGCCCTCGGTTTGATCCCCAACACCACAAAAATAAAATTTTTAAAGCATATATAGTTAGAGAAGTACTGAGAAATCAAAGATGAAACAACTATCTGTTAATATGGTTAGCTGTCAGCCTCAAACCACTGCAGCTTCCACTTATACACAAATACATTGTTCGAAAGTTGCAATATGTATAAATTAATAGATGGACAAGCATGGTAGCATAGGTCTGTGGTCCCAGCCACTCAGGAGGCTGAGGCAGGAGCATTTGGAGTTCGAGGCCAGCCTGGGCAACTCATTAAGACTCTTCTCAAGTGAAAAACCAACGAAAAAATAAGAGAGCAGTAGGGAAAACATTACAAAACATAAGTTCTAAAATGAGGGAGAGAATCCAACTTACCAGGAACAGAAGATATTTCTGCTGCAGGCTCTTTGTCATCATCTACTATCAGAATATCATTATTCACTACTGCTTCTGTTTTTACTTTGCATGTTGTACTTAAAGCAGTTGGCTTCTTCCAGAATGTTTTAGAAAATATATCTTTGGAAGAATCTAGCTTTTTGCTAGAAGAGTTGTTGCTTTTGTCAAGTTCTTCTGGCTTCTCTCTTATCTTTTCTGGGCTTACTGAATATTCACTTAGTTTCTTTCTTTTTGACTTCTGAGTTTCTGTTTCCATTCGTTTCCTTTTCGTTTCTTTTTGACTGACATCAGGCTCTAGTTGTGAACTTTCTATTTCAGAAATTATAGAATGCATGTACTTACTAATCAACAAAAACAATTTTCAATACCCAATAATCTTCATATCACTTCGAAATATCCGCGCAAGGATGACACGTAAATTTGTGAAGCGTTCCATATTGTTTACTAAAATTGGAACGATACAGAGAAGATTAGCATTGCCTCTGTGAAAGTTTTGTGACATTAATATGAAAAGAATCAAATCTGACATGCTGAAAGCCTTCTGTATGAATATATAAGTTAAATGATTTCATCTAAAGCTTCCTTTAAATGAATGACTAATAATCTAACATAACTGGAACTGGCTTTCACTGGACAAGTTAACATATGCCTGTAATCTCAGCTCCTGAGAAGGCTGTGGCAGAAGGATTACAAATGTGAGACAGGCAATTTAGCAAAATCCTGTCTCCAAATAAAAAATAAAAAGAGCTGGAAATATATCTCAGTGGTAGAACAAACCTGAGTTTGAACCCCTACATTGCAAAACTAAGTAATAAATAAAAAAATCTTCATAGTGGCATCTCTGGGAGCAGGCAGGCCCAAACTGCACTGTAAAATTGCTGTACTTTAGGTAAATAGTTGTCATAGCCCAATGGAAGCAACACAGCTACTTCTGAATCAAAGGCTAAGTCTTCATGTTTTCAAAACTGAAGGATTAACACAAATGATAATAATGATCACTAACCTTGTTTACCATGATACTCAGAAAGTACCTGGTATTCAATTCGTTTTTTTAGAAGCAAGGGAAAATATTTTCCCAAAGAAAAGCTAGGATTTGACCACCCAATTTCCTCCAGCAAAGTATTTCTTACTTCTTTAGTAAAATCATTCTTTGTCCTCGTAAGCTGCAATGAAGAAGAAAATGCCACATATCAGATCCATGTCTTTACTATTGTTAATCACAATACTATCAACCATTTTCTGATCATAAGTCAATGTCTATGTAGGACTAGCTTTAGCCACTAAACACAAAGGTGCATTTGCATAACTTTTGAAGGATTTAGTTTGTTTTTTTTTTTTAAAAGGACTTAGTTCATATTTTTATTTTTCTCCCTCTCCACTAAATGGAGAGTTTACATATTAGAGTACAATGTTGACTTAAAAACTCTTTAAATGAAAAAAAAAAAAAAAAAAAAAACCTCTTTAAATGTGAGCTGGGCATGGTGGTGCACACCTATAATCCCAACACTGGAGACAGGCAGGAGGACTGCCCTGATTTCAATACCAGCCTGAGCTATATTCAAGGTGAGTCAGAACTATATAGTGACACTCTGTACCGAAAACACCAAAACAATAATAAAGCATACAAATATGCTGTATAATCGAATATTCTTTCAAAGTTGGCTTTTTTCAAAATTGGCTATTCCTAAAACATTTTAAAGCTAAGAAAGGAAATTTACACATCAGTTATTTTTCAAAATTTAACCCGAGGACTTAACATGGTGCCATAGGCTTACAATCTCACCACTCCTGTCTCAAGGCTGAGACAGGAGGATCACGGTGGGTTCAAGGCCAGCCTGAACTACAGTGAGACTCTGTCTCAAAAAACAAAACAGCAGCCAGAGATTTAGCTCAGTGCCTCAAGTGCTTGCCTGGTAAGCGCGAGGTCCTGAGTTCAATCGCCGGTACAAAAAAAAAAAAAAAAAAAAAAAAAAAACACCAGAAAAAAAACAAAACAGCAAATTTGAGCCTAGGAAAAAAGGAGCTCCAAAACACAATAGCCAATATTCAAGTATTTTTTCTCTGAAAGAAGTAAAAGAAACACCTTACAGTAGATGAGCTTTAGTACTTGCCATAATAGCAGAGTCACTCTTCAAATTTGAATCTAATGTTGAGAATTCACCAAGAGCAATCATATGTTTGTGAATATCTGTTACTTTTGTATCCTGTTCTTTAAATTTAGTTAAGAGAAGACAAGAAGGTGGTTTCAAATGCCATAACCAACACCCTAAAGAAAAAACAGAACAAATATCTTAATTATATACTATGTACTTACTGAATGTCAAGCATACAAACACAAAGACTTGACAAATCCCAGCATCCAGGAGTCCCTGTGTTCAATTCCCAGCACATAGAACAACAGCAACAACAACAAAACCCCAAACTTATAACTACATAGTTAACACAGAAGTACCCCAAACCCAAATAAATACACAGGAAACAAAATACCATTAAGAAAAATTACCTGTTTTCCCTACCAAATATTAAAAACAAGCAGAGAACTGTCATTTCTTTTCAAATCAATTTTGATACTCAGGGTAAAAATTTAAAGGGCAGTCAACATCCTACTTTAAACTTTTAGATCAGACCTCTTTTCAAATCCAGATTCTGTCACTTACTATTCTTGTGAATATGGCAAGATCTCAACCTTAGTTTCTTTATCTGTTAAGGAAAGGTGATAATTACAATATTCTGCAGCCTAAAATTGCTTAGGCACTGTTTGCTCAAAACAATTCAGATAATTAACCTGTAATGCCTAAGGACATGAAAGAGTGACTATCTTCAAGTAGAAATGATAGTAGCACTCCTGTGAAAATGGGAAGAAAACTATTAATTTGGTTTAGCTCAGTGGTAGAGCACTTCCCTAGCAGGTGCAAGGAACTAGGCTTGATTCCAGCACTAAGAAGGAAGGAGGAGAGAGGAAGGAAATGTTATATAAACTTGTACTATGAAAAACACCAATAAAGATTTCACCAACCAAATGGTCAGTGACAGAAGGCAAAATAAGAAAAAGCAGAAAAAATTATTAGAAAAACTAGCTGTAAAATTTCCTAAGGAAAAAGGAGGCTGAAGAGGGCTGGGATGTAACTCAGTGGTAGATTACTAGCCTACTATGTGCAAGGACCTGTGTTTGATCTCCAGTACCACTAAAAGAAAGACAGGCTGAACAAGACTCATAAAGTATCAAGGTCAGAAACACAAAACAAAAAGAAAGGAAAACAGAACAAAATATACATTTCATGGGCAGAGGAAATTCACAAAACTAAATTTCAAAGCCAACAGAGAAACACAGCTGTTTGGATAAGCAAAAAGCAATACTTGGGGTCAGGGATTTAGCTCAGCAGCATAAGCACCTGCGTGACAAGCACAAGGTTGTGAGTTTGATCCCTGGTATCAAAAACAAAAACAAAAACCCCAACATCACCTGCACCTGTCTGGCAAGCGCAAAGTCCTGAGTTCAATTCCCGGTACCCTTCCCCCAAAAACAAAAACCAGAACATAATACAAAAACATCTCTAAGGGGGAACAATGGCAAAGTAATGAGAAAGACTTTGCACATTATCAGTGTTAAAAATTATAAATATCCAGTGTGGAAGTACATGCTTGTAATTCCAGCACTCAGGAGGCTGCGGCAGAAGGACTGCCACAAATTCAAGGCCATGCTGAGCTACATGGTGAGTTCGAGGTCAACCTGAACTACATAGCGAGACCCTATCTCAAAAAATGAAAATAATAAAAATAATAATTTAAAACTAAAATAAATACCATAAGTAAACTAAATTATTGTTGCTCCAGCATTTAAACACAAACAGAACTACATTATGATCAGGCTAGTACCACAGTATGAGACACTTGTGCCAACAGTTCACTCGTTACTGGCCACATGTGTATTCCACACGACATGTGGTAAACTTCAGCCTCATTTTTAAACACCTTACCCAGTTTTCCTATTGCCTTTAAAAGTTAGAGAGTAAATATTCAATAATAACAAACTTACCATCATCCTTTTGCTGTACATGAACAACAGACTGGAAACTGGTACCCACTGCATTGTACACATCCAGTGCTGCAGCTTTCTTTGCAATTTGTCGTTTCAACAAATCTGGCAAACCACTCATTAGAAAATCACGCTTTGCTTTAAATTGTACATTACAATCCTGAGATTTTTCAGACGTATCTTGACTTTTATGAAAATTATTTGAAAAAAAAAAAACACAAGATTATAAATACCACAAAGACAAATTGTTTACAAAATAAACCCTTTTGAATTTAACTTAAAAATTAATCAGCCATTTAAGATGTCAGCTGGTCAAATTCTTATCACAAATTCAAAAGTCAAAGTTATATCATGGGGGCTGGGGGTTTAGCTCAGCGGCATAAGCGCCTGCCTTGAAAGCAGGCAGTCGTGAGTTCGATCCCTGGTACCGGTAAAAAGGAAAAAGACAAAAAAAAAAAAAAAAAAAAAAAAAAAGATTAAAATAGATAAATAAAGTTATATCATGTACAGATACAAATTCTCTACAATGAATGTGATTATCATGTATACCTAAAAAGAGGCAGGCACTCATGCCACTGAGCTACATCCCCAACCCTAGAAATATGTATAGAAAAAATGTCTTAGGGGCTGGGGATTTAGCTCAACGGCATAAGCACCTTCCTTGCAAGTGTGTGGTCGTGAGTTCGATCCCTGGTACTGATAAAAATGAAAAAGACAAAAAAAAAAAAAAAAAAAAAAAAAAAGTCTTGAAGGACACTCACCAAAATGTTAACTGGGACTATCTTAGGTGGGAGGTGAGTTTTCTTTTGTTTTTTGTTTTATGGCACTGTGGATGGAACTCCACTCATGCAGGGCAAGCACTCTACCACTGAGCTACCTTTCCAACTTTAGGGTTTTGTGGTTGCTGTTAAACATGCATTTATCTGATAATCAGAAAACAAAATTAGTGTCCCTGTTAAAAAGTTTTTACAAGAACCTACTCAGCGGCATAAGCGCCTGCCTTGCAAGCAGGCAGTTGTGAGTTCGATCCCTGGTACCGATAAAAACGAAAAAGACAAAAAAAAAAAAAAAAAAAAGAACCTATAATATAACATTGTTTCCAACATAACGGAAAATTTATAACCCTTATTATTGATATTTATTTTACCTGGCTTATCTTCAGATTATGAATCATAGGAATCTTTTTTTTTTTTTTTTTTTTTTTTTTTTTTAAATACTGGGAACTGAATCCAGCTGGGGTAACCCTATATCCTCAGTCCTTATTTTTTTTTGGATAGGGTCTCACTAAATTATCCAGGTTGGCCTCAAACTTATAATTCTCCTGACCAGGACTTCAGAGTAGCTGGGTTTACAAACATGTGCTACCACACCTAGCAAGTCATAAAAGTCCTGCCCAGTATTAGAAGAAGGAGAGAGGTGAGAGAGCAGGGGAGAAAGGAAGCCTGAGTAACGCAGGGAAAGTGCAGTAGTGGATGTTATAGCTTACACATTCTTCCTAGCCTGCCCCAGAGTCTAAACTTTTAATATCCTCCACATAGAAATTTGGGTAATTAGAAAGACAATACACAATTTCTACTTGTCTTTTTTGTTTTGAGTGAAATGAGATTGGTCTTGGTTAGATTACAGGAATTAATCTTAGAAAAGAGAATCTAGATGACAGGATTTAATCTTACAAAAGAGGAGGTATATTTCTTTCCTAGCAGCATGATGGCAGATGCCCTCCTATATTCCTAGCACTCTAGGAGACTGAGGCAGGAGAAATCCAAGTTTGAGCCCTGCTGGGTAATTTTTGAGACCCTGAAATCAATATATACTGGTACAGGGGGTTTCCTCTAAGAGACTTAAGAGAAAAATACAACATTCTTTCACAGAAAACTACAAATTTAAACCTCACACAGATATAACATAACACTGAATCAGTCACTGTTATGATATCAATTATCCTCAAATCAAGTTATAAAGTTAGGAATAATGTATTTGCTGAACATATATCTGACCAAGGACTTAAAACTGGAAGGTATAAAGTACCGTTAACAACTCAGTAAGAAGACAATCCAATACAAAAATGAACAATAGATTATACGAAGGAAGATACACAAATGAACAACAATCACATGAAAAGATGCGGAACATCATTAGACATCAGTAAAATGCAGATATGGTGGTCTACACCTGTAATTCCAACGCTCATGAGGCTGAAGCAAAAGGACTATCACATATTTGATGCCAGCCTGGCTACATAGTGAGTTTAAGGCCACCCTGAACTACACAGTGAGACACTGTCTCAAAAAACAAAACAAACAAACAAAAAAAACCCCAACAAATTGTACACTGACTGGCACCCACCTCTCCAGCCTACTCTAATGTTCCTCTCACCCCTGCTCTCGATGCTCATCACACTGGGATTCTCTGTCTTTGGCATTTACTCTGCTCCTTCTAGTTACAGATACTTTGCACAGACTTCCTTCAGTCTACAGCATACTTCTTCCCGATGAACTGCTCTTCTTTCAAATTTCCACTGTCATTTCTTCATGAAGCCTTCCTTGAGCAGACTCAACCTCCTTGACATAAATTATAACCAAATTTTGCAGTTCTCCTAAGCACAATGTCAATTTTTCATTTGATGAACCGGTTAATGTTTAACTATAGACTCTACCCTCTAGACTGGAAGCCTTGTTGAGGACAGAAGATGTGTCAGTCTTATTTGCCATTTATTGAGACAAGGTTCCACTATGCAGTTCAATATATAGTTCAGGCTGGCCTTGAACTCACTATGTTATCCAGTTTAGTCTTGAACTTGCAGCGATTCTGCCTCAGCTTCCTGACTGCTGAGATTACAGCAATGCACCACCGTGTCCAGTCCAATTTTTAGTGTTTTATTCTGTTGTTTTGTCTAGAGATGGTCATAAAGCACTTGCCAAAACCAAGATCTTGCTGGGTATGGTGGTACACGCCTGTAATCCCAGCATACAGGACACTGAGGCAGGACGATCACTGAGTTTGAAGCCAACCTGGGGTACAAAGTGAGTTCAAGGCCAGTCTGAACTGCATAAAAAAAGAACTGTCTCTAAAATGCAACCAACCAAACAACAACAAAAAGGCAAAACAAAATGAAATAAAAAAACAAGATCTTTAATAGTGGTGGAAGTATTGTCAATATTATCATCTTTTAAAAAGCACTTACTGGGTCAGGGATATAGCTCAGTAGCATTGCCCCTGCCTGGCAAGCATGAGGTCATGAGTTTGATCCCTGGTACCAAATAAATAAATAAAATGGACTTCTTGGGGCCAAAGATATAGCTCAATGGCATAAGCACCTGCCTGGCAAGAGCAAGGTCCTGCGTTTGACTCCTGGTACCAAAAAAGAAAAAAAGGACTTATTGCCAGGCCTGGTAATACATTCCAGTGCCTAGCAGGCTGAGGCAGGAGGATCACTGCAAGTTTGAGGCCAGCCCGAACACATGGCAAAACCCTGTCTCAAAAAGCTTAAAATAAGGGGCTGGGGATTTAGCTCAGCGGCGTAAGCGCCTGCCTTGCAAGCAGGCAGTCATGAGTTCAATCCCTGGTACCGATAAAAAAAGGAAAAAGACCAAAAAAAAAAAAAAAAAAAAAAAAAAAAAGCTTAAATAAATTTACTTATTAAAGAGTCAAATAATTTATATGTATTCTTATCAAAGTAGACAGATATACATATAATGCATTACATAAAATATTTTGCCATTTAAAAAAATCTGTGGACTGACCTGTTCTCATCAAGAGCAAGGATAGGATCAGCTGTTTTCTGAGCTTTTTTGGCAAGAAATAAAGGTGCAACTTTCATTTTTCCTTAGAAAAATAAATATTCAATGTTAGTATCAATGCTTCCCCCCTCCATTTCAACAATTTTTAAAATTACATTTCTTTTTATATTGTTAATTATAAAGTGTCTATATAACAATCTGTTCCTGCAACCTGAAAATATCAGAACCTCCTGAGGAACTTTTATTTTTAACTAAAGACAACCCACTGATGAAGATTATTATTCAATACCTTTAAGGAAAGAAAGACCTAAACATTTTTTAAACATTTTAAATGACCCAGATAATTCTGCTGATAGTCAGATTTGGGTACTCATTCAAGACTAAACAGAGATATAAAACATGAAATAAATTTGAAATATGCTCAAAAATAAATTTAAAAATGCTCAATTTCTTTTTGAAAAACTTCGCATCAGATTATTACTTATTAAAAAAGGATCTAGATCTGAAGACACAACTGACGTGAAAAAAAAGAAAAAAAAAAAGGATCTGGGCCATGGATACAGCTCAGGCTGCCTGGCAAGAGCAAAGTTATGAGCTCTATCTCCAGTACCAAAAAAAACGGATCTAATTAAAAATTTCCATCTTATTAAATGACATAAGGCCTAGGGATATAGCTCAATGGCACAGTCTGTCTGGCAAGCTTGAGACTGTGAGTTCAGTCTCCAGTACCGAAAAAAAAAAAAAAAAAATAGAGATTAAATTTGTATCATGAGCACATCCAGAATAATCCCCTCAAACATTCTACAATTCAACAAATTGATATTAATTCTGATTACCGGGTATATTTTTAGGAGACTCTTTAAGTTTTTTTCCTAGCACATCATTTAAGCTCTGTAGTTTCTTCTGATTCTTCTCTGTATTCTTTAAAGAAGTAGGACTTGAATCTATTGTAATAATAGAGTCCTAAAACAAAGCAAGAAAATGAAAAATTTAGGGCTGGGGATTTAGCTCAGTGGCATAAGTGCCTGCCTTGCAAGCAAATGGTTGTGAGTTCAATCCCTGGTACAAAAAAAAAAAAATACACACACAGGAATGGAAAGTACTATCACTGTCTTGAGGGCATCAGCACAATTTTCAAGGAAAAGATGGTAGAATGATGAAAACATTATTTGTAACAGCCAAAAAGTGGGAACAACACAAATGTCCAACAAATGAGGCATGAGTACACAAAATATAGTTTATACAATGGGATATTATTGGGCAATTAAAAGAAATTAAACATCAGCATGGCATGGTTGCATACACCTGTAATTACAACTATACAGAAGGCTAAGGCAGGATGATCACAAGTTCAAGGCCAGCCTAGGCAACTTATTGAGACCCTGTCTTAAAATAAATTTGACTGAGGACATGCTTTAGCACTACAGTGTTTGCCAAGCACAATGAGGCCCTAGGCTTAATCTCAAAGATAATAGGAATAATAATAGTGCTAAGTAAAAGCAGCCAGACACAAAGCACCACAAATTACACAATATTACTTACATGAAATTTCCAGAACAGATTAATCTATGGAAATAGAAAGCAGATTAGTAGTGGCTAGGGCTAGAAAATAGAAAGATTAGGAAAGAACAGCAAAGGTAAATGAGATGTGCTTTTGGAGTAAGAAAAATGTTATAAAATTGATTATGATGCATATACAACAACAGGCCCTGAATTGTACACTTTAAATGATGAATTGTTTAATACATGAATTATATCTCAATACAGCTATTTTTTAATAAAAAGAAGTTGTATTTCACATGATCTTAAAAAACCTGTGCATGCTTGGCATGGTGATACATGCCGGCAATCACAGGACTTGGGAGGCTGATGCAGGAAAATCATGATGAGTTCAAGACTAACGTTGGGCTACAAAATAAGTTCAAGACCAACTGTAACTACAGAACAAGATCCTATCTCAAAATACAAGGGGAAAAAAATTTGAGCAGGAAATCCGCAGGTAGAAAAAAGCACTAAGACAATAAAATAGAAGTAACTGAGAAAATAAAATAAAAAATGGGAGAACCAAATAGTATGATTATTAAAAAAATGCTTTGAGGAAAGGGAAAGAGCCAGTTTAGCTGATAAAAACCTTGGGTGAACTGAGAAACATTTGGATTGTTTATAAAGCCAAAGGGGCTTTTGAAACAGAATTGCAAATGATATTCTTTCTACCACTTCAAGGCTGTCCTACAATGCTATCTCCTAACTTTATAATGATTTCCTCTCCTGCTCCAAAGAACAACATGGAACAGAATTTACACCAATAGATGTAATACTTGTAACAGCTGTAATACTTACATCCGTTTCTGATGATTTCTCCCTTTCACGAAGTGCCTGATGCCTAGAGGAACGTCTTAAAGGTATGACTATTTCTTCAGTGGTCTTTGCCCTACTGATGTGTAAGGCTTTTGCTTTCTCAATCAGTTGCTTGGCTTTTGAAATATTTTTTGAAGTACTGTTTGCCTAGACAAAAATTTGAAATATTAACTTAGATCAGAGCTAGTGTTTTCCATTTAACAATAAATGTATAATAGAAAAATGTAATTGCAAATCACATTAAACAATCACCCTAGAAATGATTACTCAAACCTTACCAAGAATCTCAAATTAAAACATAGGTAATAATTAGTTGTTTTTTCTTATTTGAAAGTGTCCTGACAAATACAGTGGTACCCTGGTTCACAAATTTAATTTGTTCCATGATTCTGGCAAAGAGGGCCACAGCTGTGTTCATCAGCCAGTGCAAAGTTCACAAAAAACAAAATTTTGCCAAATGCTTCTGTTTGTGAACCAAACTGTTCACAAACAAAAGCACTCATAAAACCTAGAGTGACGGCCCATGCCTGTAATCCCAGCTCTTGGGAGGTTGAGGCAGGAGGATCACTGTGAGTTTGACCAGTCTGGGCTACAAAGTGAGCTCAAAGCCAAATTAAATTGCATAGTGAGACCCTGTCTCAAAAAGACAAGAAGAAAAAAAAGCATTCATGAACCAACCTTTCACTATATACATTACATGAGTTCAAAACTTCCAGAAAGATGTAAATAGTATTTTCCCACCATTGTCATGATTTTAGTTACCAAATTCAGATAAAGTATTTTCCAAATACAATTACTCACCCTACCATATGCTAGGTTCTGAAAGAAAAAAAAAGAAAAAAGAAAAAAATGAGTATTAAAAAAATGAAAGAAAAAATGAGTATTATAACACATAGACTTTGGCCACAAGGAACTTACATATGGAGAAGAAAATAAGAGCAGACTTTGGCCTCCAGGGACTTACATATGATATAAAATAGATACTGCTGGGTGTGGTGGCACACATCTGTAATTCTAGCACTTGGGATTAGGCAGGATAATTACTATTAAGTTAGGGATGGCCTTACTGCATAATGAATTCAAGGCCAGCTTGAACTATATTGCAAGAACCTGTCTCAAAAGTAAAGAAAAAGATATATATAGTACCAATACATAATATACATTATCATCATGTATACTGTGTATACTTAGACATATATGTCACACAATCATATGCACATATATAGAAAAAGATAGACAAGGAGAATGATACATAAGAAATAAACCACAGGAGCTGGGGATTTATCGCAGTGGCATAAGCACCTGCCTTGCAAGCAGGTGGTCATGAGTTGGATCCCTGGTACCGATAAAAATGAAAAAGACAAAAAAAAAAAAAAAAAAAGAAAGAAACCACAAGGTCTTACAAAGTTGCCCAGGCTGGCCTCCAATTTGTGATTGTGATCCACCTGCCTCAGCCTCTAAGTAGTTGGGATTATAGATATGCACCACTCTGCCCAGCAGTGTGTGTGTTGTTGTTGTTGTTTTTGTCTTTTGAAACAGGGTCTTGCTATGGAGTTCAAACTGGCCTTGAACTTGTGGCAATCCTCCTGCCTCAGCCTCCTGAGAGCTGGGATTACAGGTGTGTACCACCACACCTGTCTGTTACTGATTTTTTAAGGAAACAGAGTATCACTTATAGACTTCAATATTTCAATTACTTTTTTTGTTTTTAGTGGTGGTGGTATTTGGAATGGAATTTAGGGACTTCTCACCAATCTATATCCCCAATCTTTTTTTATTTTTTGAGACAGTGTCACTAAATCATTAAATTGCCCAAGGTGACCTCAAATTTTATTGAGATCCTTTTGGCTCACCTTCCCAGAGTGTTAGAATTCAGGTATGTGCCACCACATGCAGCTTTTTAATTACCTTTCTAGTCTGAGAAGTCAAGTCTCCATCACTTGCTTCAGATTTTTTAGATCTTTTCTTAGATTTTTTGGGAGTGCTAATTCTGGTAAATTTCATTCTGAAAAAAGAAGGTATTTTAAAACATTTTCATTATAATGCAAAAGAAAACAAATGAACTATCTATCCATGGCTCCAATTTCTGGACTTAATTATAAAATAGGGAAAAAATTTGTATCAATTTGATTTAAAAGGAAGCCACACTTTATTACCTTCTTTAAAAATAATAAACCTTAAAAACATTAGCTCCTGGGATCACTCTTATTTTAGCCACAACCAGTGTGCAAGTATATACTTCATTATGTATGCATCAGTTTACCCAAGGAACAGACACTCCGCAATTTATAATTTCACTTACATAAAATTACACAATTTATGTTTGAAGGCTATTTCTCCAGGGATTATCAACTGTGATGAATAAAATTTAGAATTCATCCAAAATAGCTAGAACTCTTCTGAAACTGTGACTGTTTAAACATGAAAAATAGTATTTTTGAAATTCTATTTTTTCTACAAATCAGCTGTGTTGGGCTGGGGATTTAGCTCAGCGGCATAAGTGCATGCCTTGCAAGCAGGCAGTCGTGAGTTCGATCCCTGGTACCGATAAAAATGAAAAAGACCAAATCAGCTGTATTCTAGAAAAAAATAATGCCTTCCAATACTTCAACTATTTTCCTTCCCAACTAATAATACCTGCAGAACACTAGAACCTTAGAACAGAAACAAAACTTTACCTAATAGGGCTCTCTGAATCAGATGGTACTGTTATCAATTCCGCTGTGTACAGGCTGTGTTTTTCAGATACAGGCATGGAAGTCTTTACCGGACTATTGTCCTGTGCATCTTCAGAATCAGTACCTCTAAAAGTCACTGCAGTAGATGTGCTGCTACATCTTGTAGACCTTCTGGTTGATTTGGGAGTGGAAACATTTACCAATCTGTCTTCAGGTTCAGCTTTAGAATATATAAACTTATCACCTTTAACTGGCATGCTGGTTTTTCTTGATGATTTATTGTTACGTATAGAGGAAATTTTTAGAGGTTCACCATATGCTTCATGAAGACTTTCACTGTTAAGTAATGTACTGCTTTTGAAAGTTTCTGAATTCTTTTGCCTTAAACTCATTCTAAGCCTATTTGGATTTTGTTTATCTTTTAAGGAAAAAGTTGATTTTTGCTTTTGAGTGTATTCCTCTTTGGTCTCATCTTGAGTAGTCCCAGTATCTAATATTTTCTTAACCTTTTTCTTTACCTTTTTCTTTTTCTTTTTAGGGAAACTTTCTTTATCAGTGTATGACTTTGAGCTGTCATTATTTGAAACCATTTGGACACTGGGATTTTCCATGATTTTTTTACAATTATTATCACTTCCTTCTTCATTTAAAGATTTTTCATTGTGGTCTTTCTGCTTATCCAAAGGCTTTTTGACTCCATTTTTAAGTGCCTCAGTTGCAGGCTGCCTAAATGCTTTCATAAACTGCTGTCTTTCTTCGAGGGTACATTTTGGTTTCACAACTTCAGAACTTCCAGCTTCTAACACTGCCAATTCTAACTCCTCTTCCTCTATGACAACATTAGATTTTCTTTTCTGTGTTGTCTGTTCATTCTCAGGATCAGACAGGCTGTTTTCCAGCTCAGAATGCTTTTGCTTCAAGAAAATTGAAGGTATTTTCCCTGCCTTTTTTGGGGGGATGGGATGAACTTGTGCAAGAACAGTGACTGTCTTCAAGTGTACCTGCTGAGATATTTCACAGTTTTCTGATTCACTTATACAGCCACTGTTGACTACTTCTTCAACACTTTCAGAAGGAACACAAATTGATATTGTAGAATCTGCTATTTGTTCCACTTTATTTTCTTTGTGACTTTTTAAAAATTCCTCATATGAGATAGTTATTATACCATCATTTAAATGGGCTGTTTCAATTACATGATCACTGGAATCTGCATCACTTGTAGTATTCTTAGTTTTATTATTTAGGGAAGGCATTGTCTGTTTACTATCTTTACCATCTTTTTTAAGTAAATTTAATCCTTCTGTCAAGGCTAAACATTCAGTTAGAGCTATTACATTCCGCTGTTTCCTTTTTCTCAACTTTCTGCAATCATTTTTTGTGGTCCCTTCTTTAGGACTTACTTTCTTATTATTTTTTTTGGAGGTCATAATATGTGCCTGTTTTTTGGTATCTTCGATACTTTCTACATGAACATCTACACATTTCTTGTAAAGCAGAACAGAAGTACTATTTCCCACATCATTATTTAAACTAGAGTCATCTTTGCTATCATCACTATTAATTTCAACTGGAGACTCATTCTCAATTTTAATATTATTTAGTTGATGAGATAAATTAACCCTCTTTCCTTTCCTCTTAATCTCTGCATTTGAGAACAGTCCCAAAGATTTCTTACAGTCATCAATATTGTTAACAAGAGATGGTGCAGAAGACTTTATCTTGCCCTCTTTCGCTGATTGTACCTTCTCATTTGCAGGGGAAGTCTTTCTAAAATAATCCAAAATATTGCTGGATTTTGGTGGAGAGAAAACCCTGTCTCCAGTCTTCTCTGTTGGTGATAAATATTTTGTAATTGTTTTGCAGGAAGGTCTATCATCATCTTTCCTTCGTTTTTTGCATGGCTAGCAATTTAAAAGAAGAAAAGGCATTTATTTCAAGGAAATAACATAAAAATTAGATTTTAAATATAGCTCTAAAATTTTAGGTAACTAGATTTAAAAAAAAAAAAAAAGGAAGATGCCTTTTGGTTTAAAAAAAAAAAAATAACAGAAAAAAATGAGACAGCTGGGTATGGTAGCACACACCTGTAATCCCAGCACTTGGGAGGCTGAGGCAGCCTCAAACTGCAAGCCTCAACTGCAAGGCTGAGGCCAGCCTGGGCTAAATAGTGAGTTCAAGGCCAACTTGTACGAAACAGCAAGATCTCATCTCAAAAAGCCAAAAGAACAAAAGAAAGAAAGAAGGAAAGAAAGAAAGAAGAAAGAAAGAAAGAAAGATGCCAGGTGTGGTAGCCCATGCCCATAATACCAGCACCCTGGAAGGTTGAGGCAGGATGTAAAGTTCAAGACCAATCTGGACAGTTTAGTGAGTCCATGTCTCAAAATTTAAAAAGGGGTGGGGTATATCATAGTATGAAGGTCCTGGGTTCAATTTCCAATACTGCAAGCAAGCAAACCAGAAAGAAAGAAAATGAACTTTAAAGTTAAACTAAGTGCTAGAGAAAACAGCTTAGTCATGGTTCAATCTCCAGCACTACAGACGAAAAGTAAATGCAAGTTAAACCTACATGTCAGTTTCAAAATCAAATCAAATTTTATATTCAATCTGTATACTTTAATATATATATATATAATACAACAAAAAGTTTATATTTAAATAAAACTAAGACCACTATACTTACAAGAAAATTTATTAATTTCTTTTGGCCTATTTATAGGCCTATTTATCTTTGAATAGCACCACCCACTTCACAGAATTTGTTTGTTTCTTTTTGTGTACCGGTAACTGAACTCAGGACCTCGTGCTTGCCAGGTGGGCACTTGTGCCACTGAGCTACATTCCCAGCCCAGAATTTGTAATAAATACACAAAAACACATGAAGTAAGACACATTGTAGGAACACTACAAATATCAAGTCCATCTCTTTTCTTTTCTTTTCTTTTCTGTTTTGTTCTGGGGATTGAATCCAGGGCCCCATTTTTGCTTTGCCACTGAGCTATAGCCCTCCACCAGTTTTTAACTTCTTTCAGTTAATTTGTCAGAAAAAATCTGCTCAGAATAACAAGGACTTTGTTGCTGGCTTTTTTTTTTTTTTTTTTTTTTGAGACACAGTCTTGCTATGTAGTTCAGTCTAATCTTGAATTTATTATACAGCATAGACTGGCCTTAAACTCACAGTGATCCTCCTACTTTACAATCCTGAGTGCTAGGATTACAAATGTTTGCTTTCATGCCTGGTACAGGGGCTTTTTTCCCCCTTAAATAAGGGGGAATGTGTATTTTTAGAAAATGAAAATGTATTACAAAGCTATCATAATTGCTAGGCATGGTGGCACACATCTGTAATTCCAGCACTCAGGAGACTAAACCAGGATCATTGATAGTTTAAGGCCAGTTCTGGGCTACATAGTGAGTTCAAGGCCAACTTGAACCATGTAACCAAACCCTGTCTCCAAAAAATCAACCTCCCCTCCCACCAAGAAAGCTTTGTCATGACTTTTAAAGATGCTTGTAATACAAGCCCTACCCCCAAAATAAGCCTCAATTAAGACTGTGAGCCAGGTGGTGGCATAAACCTTTAATCCTAACATTTAGGAGGCTGAGGCAGGAGGAGTTCAAAACCAACCTGAGCTACAAAGTGAGTCCAAGGCCAGCCTGAACTGCATAGCAAGACCCTGTCTTGAAAAGACCCGCCCCCCCCAAAATGCCTCTGAAGAAGAAACAAATGCCTATGTAAACAGTGAATTCAAGACTTATTGCTGAATAACCAATTGTGAGTATTCAAGGTATGAATAACACGCGCACTTAATAACAGATACTGTTATTTCTAAAATGAATCTTCAGACTACTTAATATACTCATGTGAAATAAAGAAACATCTGAATTTTTTTTTTTTTTTTGTACCAGAAGTCAAACTCAGGACCTTGCACTCGCCAGGCAGGCACTCATGCCACTGAGCTATATCCCCTGCCATCTTCTGAATCTTGGTGCCTGCAATTTTTCATCACTTTTGTGTGGACCATCATTCTTAACTATTACATTTTTATTGCCTCTCCTGTCTCATAAGCCTTCAGTTAACATTTGATTTAATGGAAACTTTGCGAGGTCTACTTGCTGAAGGTCATGGCTTGGATGAAGAAGTCAAGGAATAAAATCATTGACAGGGTCGGGGATTTAGCTTAGCAGAGTAAGCACCTGCCTGTCAAGTGTGAGGTAATAAGTTTGATCCCTGACACACATACACAAAAACATCACTAATAGCTGTATTGCTATTATACTACAAGTAGGCTACATGGATAAGAAGTGCTCCTTTAAAGACAGGTCTAGGGCCAGGGATTTAGCTTAGCAGTGTAAGGGCCTGCCTGGCAAGTGTGAGGTCATGAGTTCAATCCCTGGTACCAAAAAATAAAAATAGAATAAAATAAAATATACGGACAGGTCTATTGCTGAACATGAGAGACTGGGACTAATGGATCCACAGGAAACAAAGTCCCAAGAAATTATATGACTGTATTTGAATAAATGTGATTTGAATTTGGACATGAAAAAGTAAGACATCCCCTAAAAATAAGCCCTACTGTGTCTTTTCAGAGCAAAAATTTTAATGAGACTCAGTCTTACTTTTAAGGAAATATGTTTCATAATTCACTTGATTTCATGCACAAATGTGAGTACAATAGCTATGATCAACTAGACAAGCATTGCCAGAGGTAGAAGTGCATGCTTCTAATCTCAGCACTCTTGTGAGGCAAAGGCACCAGGATCACATGTTCAAGCTTACCCTGGGGAATTTTACTGGCAGCCTGTCTTAAAGTAAAAACTAAAGGGCTGAGGAGATAGCTCAGTGTGAAGGTGTTGGGTTCAATCCTCAATATTGAAAAAAAAATTAAGACAGTTACTTGATTCTAAAAATTGAGAAAGTCCAAAATTAAGTAGACACAAGCTCACTTCAACAACACCAAGACGTCAGTGAGAATGCTATCTAGAAAAGTGTAAAAATACAGTACATTTTAAAATGCTAACCCACTAACTACTTCAAAGCATAGAATATCATGACTGCTTAGTCATGAAAACCTAACAATACAGGAGAATATTAGCATTCTCTGGAATTCCTAGCTGCAGTATATTAAACTTTGCAGGCATGAGAAATTAGTTTCTTATTAAGTAATTTGTTTGATTCGTGTAGTGACATTCTAAACACAATTCCTAGGACAAGTACGTGTGTGGACTAGTCCAACTTGAAGGACTTTTTAAACGCCCAAGTTCTATGATTCCGTATCAGGAACCCAGAACTTGGACCCTAGGATCCTTCATGACATGACATGTCAGAAACTCAAACCATTACATTCCACCAACATTTCACAATCTGAGAACTGGCTGTGTTTTCCTGATTTACCGTAATCCTGCAAACATGCCACAATTCCAATGTTTGTCAGAATTTATCACGACTCAGAAATGACACTCGGGCAATTCAACCACACAAAGTCGTAACTGTGGGTCCTCATCACGTCCTTCTTTTACCCTCCCAAATACAAACTCAGGATTCCCTTCCATCTACCCCACAATTCTCCAACAGACCAAAAAAAGAACCTGACAGATGCTCGCTCTCACCTCAATCTCGTAGTCTTTCACGGGAGTGGGAGCAGCCGCCATGGCCAGGACCCCCACCATACTCACTGCCTTCCAGAATCGCAGCTCTTAGGACCTTATGCGGTCCAGCCTACCCCTCTTGGAGCCCATTGAGGCGGCCCGCTCTTTGCAGGCCACCGGGCTGGTCTCAGGCTCTCCCGCGCTCACCGGCGCGAAGCGAGAACAGACGCTGGGCCCAGTTCTGCGGAGTCAAACGCGGAAAGAGGCAGTGAGAAAGCCCGGATAGCGAAGCTCCTGGGATGTGGCCAGGGACTACAGTGTGCCCCCGAGGCAGGAGCTCCAGGCTGAGTGCTCGGGAATAGGGCCCGAGCAGGGATAGCCAACAGAACACAAACCCAACCGCGGGGCTACGGCGGGAGTTCTTGTCAATTAGGTTTTCGCGCCGTCCAGCGTCTAGGGGGCGGAACTTACGGCGGCTTTCTGGAGGCTGCGCAAACGGTGAGTCCGGAGGGACAAAATACATCCTTTCGCGAACTCTAAGAGGTATGACAAATTGTATCACAGGATTATAAACAGCCAGGAATTTGGAGATTAAAACTTCTGTCCGATAGCCAGTTTCATCTTGAGGACTTGCTTTGACTAAGGCCACTTACTGAAGACGTCAAACTTGGGTCTTCTCCCCAGCTGTACCGATTATTACCAGCGTTTTCTTTATTTTCTCTGTCTCTCTCTCTGTCTCTCTCTCTCTCTCTCTCTCTCTCTCTCTCTCTCTCTCTCTCTCTCTCTCTCTCTCTCTCTGTCTCTCTCTCTCTCTGTCTCTCTGTCTCTCTGTCTCTCTCTCTCTCTCTCTAAGGTCTTGTTTTGTAACCCAGGCAGGCCTGGACTTCATGATTCTCCTGCCTCAGCCTTCTGAGTACTAAATTACAGGTGAGTGCCACTATGCCCTTCTGTATTGCTGACTTTTTAAAAATACTTTCACATCTCTATCCCTAGAAAAATCATTAGTTTTTAGTTTATTTACATAATTGGTAACTCTCTCACTCAGAAATTTGATACTTTTTCACTAAATATTGGTTTTGTTGTTTTCTTTTTGAAACAGGGTCTCACTATGCAGTTTAGGCTGGCCTTGAACTCAGGATCCTCCTGCTGCCTCCTGAGTGCTGGGATTACAGGTGAGTGCCACACACACACACACACACACACACACACACACCCGGGCTTCAATATTGTTTTTAAGAGCCAAAAAAAAAAAAATTTTGTTTTTAAGAGCCATTCATGATATATGTAGTTTTATTCATTCTCTTTCCTTGTGTTCCATCTTAGTCTGCACTTTTATTTACTCATTTCCTTAATGATTAACATTTAGATTATCTTCCAAGTATCTGCTACTTAATGAGCAGCCAATGAACAGTCTTGTCAGTGTCTCCTTGAATACACACAAGGTTTCTCTAGCATACACAAGGAAAAATTGCAGGGCTACTATATACGTTTCTAGTGTTTTTTATTCTTTTGAATTACAAAGCATTTACACTGCATTACGTTAAGCATTCACCCTGAGTTTATTTTTAGTTTTAGGATTTTTTCTCATTGTTGTTAGTTTTGTTTTTGTTTTCTGAGACAAGGTCTGTCTTGTTGACCTTGAGCCCATTATATAGCTCAGGCTGACCTCAAATTCATGACAGTCCTATTGCTTCAGTCTCCTAAGTGCAAGAATTACAGGCATGTACCACTACGCTCGGCTTTATTTAGGAGTTCATGGCACTTGTCTATTTTTAATTAAATGAATTCTCACATTTGTAAAGTAATTCACAGTTCAGTATATCAATGTCATTAGATTATCTTCCCTATCTGGCTAACTACAACTTTCTTTCCTTTCCTTCTCAGTAGCTTCATTCAACAAGTTCCAAGGCAGGATCCCAAGCTGACCCATACTTGTACAAATTATTGTTTGTAATTATTATATTTATCAAAGTAATGCCTGTACTTGATTTAAAAATGTGAAAGAACAAAAAAAGTCAAAGAACATTAAGAAACTTACTAAAAATAACTGATTTCTCTTTTATACTCCAGGTCCATAATCTAGAGGCAGATTGTTTACAAGATTCTTCCAGCATTATAAATGTCTTCTTATTTTTAAACACTATAATATCCTTGTATAGATATTTTTTATTTTTTGATTCTTTTTATTTATTTATTTATTTTTTTTTTTTTTTGAGACAAGGCCTCACTATGTAGTTCAGCCTGGTCTCGAACTCACTATATAGCTCAGATGGCCTGGAACTCACAGCAGTCTCCCCTGCCTCAGCCTCCCAAGTGCTAGGATTGCAGGTATGTGCCACTGTACCTAGTTATATAACTATTTTTAGATTTCATACTTTTCAACGGTATTCAGTAAACCACTATTGTGGTAGCTAATGATTTAACTTTCTTATAGTATCACCCTCCACACTTCTTCTCCTGAGTTGGGTGTGTGGTTCAATGGTAGAGCTCTTGCATAGCATGTATGAGGCCCTGGATTGGATGCTTAGCACCACACACAGACTTTTCCTCTCACTCTATATCAGTCCCTTCTCCACTGATGAGACAATCTACCTGGCATATATAATTAAAAGAAGAAAATTTTTATTTTGGCTTACAGTTTCAGTGCTTTCAAGCCACGGTGAGCTGGTGGAAATATCATGGCAGAAGGGCACAGAGGAGCAAAGCTGCTCCCTTCATGGTAGCAGGAAGCAGAGACAGGGCAAGGGTTCAAAGGAAAGGATCAGGGGCTAGGTTTTAGTCCCCAGAGTGGTGCCTCCATGACCCACACAGAAACACCCAGAAGACTACTTTCCTAGTCATCTCTCAAGTGACTATGTTAACAGTCAAGATCAGCCAACATCAGTCTACTTGTCAACCTGACACCCAGGCATGACTGACTCCTTAAACCATATATATATATTTTTTGGTACCAGGAATCAAACTCACGACCTCATGCTTGCCAAGCAGGCGATTGTACCACTGAGCTAAACCCCCAACCCCTTAAACCATATTTAATCTCTCTCTCTCTCTCTTTTTTTTTTTTTTTTTTTTGTCTTTTTCATTTTTATCGGTACTGGGGATCGAACTCATGACCGCCTACTTGCAAGGCAGGTGCTTATGCCACTGAGCTAAATCCCCAGCCCCCATATTTAATCTCAAAGTATACAATAATAAAGTCATAATTCTTCCTGACATATATAACTGTATTGCACAAAAGAAAATGTCCTGATTCCTTCCCCTAAGTCCCAGTGTTGCTGAAAAGTCCAAGTTCAAAATCTCAAACTCTCCACTATAAACCTCCATAAAATCTATTTGTTTGTTTGTTTTTTGACAGGATTTCACTATGAAATTCAGACTGGCTTTGAATTCACTGTGTAGCCCATGCTGACCTCAAATTTTCAGTGATCTTTCTGCCTCAGCCTCTCATGTGTTGGGATTGATTACAGGTATGCACAACCATGCTAACCCCTGTGAAATTTAAAAAGCTAGGTATGTGATCCCAAAGTTACAATGGTACCAGGTAAATATTCCTATTCCAAAAGAGAAGCAGGAAATAGAAAAGGATCTGACCAAAGAAAGACTGAAGGGCAGGGCAAACATTAAATTCTGCAGCTAATGACCAGAATCTAGGGCATGAAGGGCATGATGTGAACTTTCAAAGAGCAGGAGCAACCCATAATCCATGGCCCTGCCAGTGATGGCCTCCATAGTCTGTACTGGGCTGGGTGAGATCACTGCCTGAAGCTTTCCCCGACAGCTGCTCCACATAGGAGGCATCTCCAACTTCCTGGAGTCTCCATTGCAGCTTTGGCCTCAATCCCCAGCTTCCTGCTTTACCCACTCAGGGGCTCCTGATAGGAACTTCAAACTCGCCACACACTGCCTGGTCATCCAGGCCTTTTTTTTTTTTTTTTGGTAGCAGGGTGGGGTTGGGAGTGGGGATAGAACTCAGGACCTTGCACTTGCCAGGCAGGTACTTATGCTGCTGAGCTAAATCCCTGACCTCTGGGCCTTCTTCTGAGATTACTGTTAAAGTCAGTCTCCCACAAAGTCTCCAAACATGAACAAAATGCTGACAAATTCTTTGCCAGAATGTAATATGCATAGTCTTTAGTGCAGTTCCAGTGGAATCCTTGTTCCTATCTGAAAGCTTATGAGTACTATCTACACTGTCTTCATCCCTAGTAGAGTCTGATCTTCTGAGAGCCCACAAGAATCACTCATCAAACAAGGTATATAGCATTCAAGACTTTCTTCAGCCTGCTTCTCCAAACTTTTCCAAATTCCTCCTGCAAACCAGTTGAAAAGATGGTCAGGTACAGTCACTGTAGTCCCTATACTCTCAGTACCTGTTTTCTGTATTAGTCACTTCTCTATTTATTACTGAGGACAAAAATACCTAACACACTTATTTTCTTTCTTACTTTCTTTCTTTCTTTCTTTCTTTCTTTATCAGGAATCAAAATGATGCAGGCACTGTGCCTTTGAGCTATATCCCTGGATCCTAACATACACATTTTAAAGAAGAAAATGTTCATTTTTCTGCAGGGTTTCAGAGATTTCAGTCTTTGCAAGAATGCTCCAAGGCAAAAATATCTTGGCAGAAGAATATAGTGGCACAAAGCTGCTTACTTCATGGCAGCCGGGAAGCAGAGTCAGTGAAAGAGGCTGAGAGGAAGAGGCCAGAGAACAAAGTCCCGAAGGTCACATGACCATGACTTACTAAAATACTCATAGAAGTGTGGGTTACTTGGCGCATACCTGTAATCCCAGCACTCTGAAAGCTGAAGCAGGAATTTAGCCACAAGTTTGAGGCCAGCCTGGGCTACATAGCAAGTTCAAGACTAGGGTTCAAGACCCAGTCTCAAACAAACAAACAAACAAGTGTGCTTTACTGAACTTCTTGGCATCTCTCAAGTCAGTCAAGTTGACAGTCAAGATTAACCATCACAAACCCCTTCAACAGATGAGTTAATAAGCAAATTTTCTATAGTCATACAGCAATACTGCTGCACACTAAAAAGAACTAATAATACATGCAATGAGAAGGATGCATCTCAAAATTCTTATCATGGGTGTAGAAGACAGGTGAAAAAGGAGTACATGCTGTATGAGTTCATTTGTGTAAAATTCTACAGAACACCAATTGCATTGTTGACACTTGGTCTCTAAAAGGTTCACCCTCACTAGCCTAGGGACTATGGGCCTGGAAGATCTAACTCAAATCTTAACTGAAGTCCCCTTTTTAAAATTCCCATTCTTCCATTACCTTCTGTGGTATTTATTTATCCTGTCCATGTGTCACTTTATCCATCCATTCCATAAATACTACTGAGTACATACTATGTGCTGGCTGTCAATAAAGCAGACAAAGATACTTGTCTTCTCAAAGTTTATACTCTAGTTGGAATATATTCCATTAATAAAGATGATAAGTAAATATATGGCATGATCAGTAGAGGCAAATAGAAAATAATGCAGGAACTTGATATAAGAAAAGGAGTATCAAAACACGGGTTGCAGTTTTAAAGTAGATAAAGGGATAGGTATGGTGGCACACCTGGAAGGCTGAATCAGGAAAGTTACAATTTTGAGCGCAGTGTGGGCAATATAGTACCTTAATGAGAAACTGTCTCAGAATTTAAAAAAAAAGGGGGGGGGCTGGAAATGTAGCTCAGTACAAAGATCTTGGGTTCAATCCCCAGTACCCACTCTCCCCCAATGATGTATCTGGAGCCTTGTCTCCTAGGCTGAATCTCTCAGATGTCTTCTTGCAAAGTTGGTTCAATTCTGAGTGATTTTCCCTCTAAAGTTTAGGGTGTGACTTCTGTCAGTTAGCTTGGACAATTACTACTCTTCTATTTACTTCCTAATTTCCAAAATCTGTGGCCCTCTCTTTTATGGCCTTCCTGTTCTACTCTACCTTTAAACCCACCTTAAATACCTTTAATATTCTTTGACAGGAAAGGAGACAAACTCATGCAGTCAACTCCAGAAAAACCTTAAGATTCAGCTCAAAGGCTACTTCTATAGGAAATCTTTTTTGTTGCTTTTTTTGGGGGGGGGGGTAGGGATCAAACTAATAGCCTCACACTTACCAGGCAAGTGCTGTGCTGCTGAACTATAACCCCAGCCTTTTCTGTTGCTTTGCCCATTCACTGTGCTTCAGGTTAAATTTTGGGGCAGTTCTGTGCACCGCATAATACCTATTAGACGACTTGCATGCTTATATTATAAATTCCTGCTTAGTTGTGTGCTCCCTCATTATCCAAGGGAGGCAAGTACCGGGGCTCATGGCTGTTACGACTCTGAGCGCCCAGCACAGAGGCAGATATGCATCTCACTCTAAACATTTTGTAAAGTGAAAGTCTGATTTTACAAAGGCCATATTATTCAGGCTTTGTATCAGCTCTGTGAGGAAGACATTCATCTGATTATTAATTTATGGAAGTGGAAACTGTAGCTTAGAGATGGCGGCCAAGGTCTTGGTGTTCAGCCAAGTCTCCTAAATTCAACTGTATTGTTTTCATTGTGCAATTACACATTGTAGTCAGAACATGGTGAAAAAGTGAGAGATGACATTTTCTTCTTCAGATTATACAATGTTCTCTGGATAACCATTACTGCTATCACTCTGGTTCCCACACTTCCCCCACTTATCTACTTGGGGAAACTGAGTCCACTCTTGGCCCTGGCTACCTAAACTAATCTATATTACCCCAGATCTTGGCTAGTTATTGGTTTGAAGGTGGTAGGTAGTGTCCTAATTTGTCCCCAGGAGACATTTTCTTAATATTTTGGAGATAAGCATGTTTATGTTACTGAGCCAAATCCGGGAAAAGTCCCTCAGCTCCCTCCAGCTGCTGTGTAAAATTTAACAGCCTTAGGGCCAGGCGTGGTAGTATATGCCTATGATTCCAGCACTCAGGAGGCTGAGACAGGAGGATTGCCATGAGTTTGAGGTCAGCCTGGGCTACTTACTGAGTTCAAGGCCAGCCTGACTCTGTCCAAAAAAAAAAAAAAAAAAAAAAAAAGATTAAACACCCTTAAAATAAATAGCTTGCAAATGGCAAAGAAGAGCTTTGGGGTTCCAGGGATTTAGCTCAGTGGCATAAGCACCTGCCGGCAAACATGAGGTCATGTGTTTTATCCCAGTACGGAAAAAAAAAAAGCATTGGGAAGAGAACTTTAGGTCAAACTAACTCTAAAGAGCAAATGAATCCTCTTATTTTTCTGGGGAAGTTTGAGTTAAATATTTTGGTATCTTGCAACTAAAGGCATTGAAAAGAATACACAGGGGCTGGGGATTTAGCTCACAGGCCTAAGCGCCTGCCTGGTAAGCATGAGGTCATGAGTTTGATCCCTGGTACAAAAAAAAATACAAGATACACCAAGGCATGGATAGGAAAACTAGGACACTCAAGCTGTAATGAACTTGTGTAAAAGTATGTGCTTAGCCTGATCAAGGTGGTTCAATCCTGAGTACTATCACTACCAGCAACAAAATATATATTTAAAAAATGGAGCATTAATAAAATTTGAGGATGTACAAATCAAGATTGTAGTTACCAAAAAATTTTTTAAAAAAGATTGTAGCTACCTCATTTAAAAAAATTTTTTGAAGCCAGCCATGGTGGCACATTCCTGTAATCCCAGCACTTGGGAGACTGAGGCAGGAAGATTGTCACAAGTTTGAGACCAACCTGGGCTACAAAGTGAACCCAAGGCCAGCCTGAACCACATAGTGAGACCCTGTCTCAAAAAGACAAACAAACGTTTTGGCAGCACTGGGGATGGAATCCAGAGCTCCTTTCTTGTATATGAAAGGCAAGGGTTCTATCACTGAGTCACATCTCCAGCCCCAGATTATCTGTTTTTTAAGTGGGCACCTCACTACGTTTTGCAAGCTGGTCTCAAACCCCGTGCTCAAATGATCCCCTTGCCTCAGCCTCCCAAGTAACTGAGACTACTGGTACAAGCTACTTAACCCAGCATTTAATTGTTTTTGGTAGGGCCTGAAGATGTAACTCAATGTATGCAAGATGTACAAGGCACTAGGTTTCATCTCCTGTACACACACACACACACACACACACACACACACACCTTAATTTCTTAGGGCTGGAAGTATAGTGGAAGAGAGCCTGGGCTCACCTACAGCACCAGATACAGGACTCTGTAAAAGTACCACTGAAGCCCAGCTGGTATCTGCCATTGCCAATCTAAACCACCTTCTTCTCTATTATAGACAAGAGGGTTTATTCTTAGGAAGTTGTTATGGATTAAAAACTGGTGGTCAACTTAATGCCAGGGGAATTAAATCACAATGGTGCTGAGCGTAGATGTTTCACCTGAGGAAAGTTGCCAGCATAAATAGAAACATAGAGAAGAAGTTAGGCGTTAATGCATTAAGATGCATTGAAGCATTATGGGTTCTTCTATGCGTTGCTGTTTGAGCCATTGGTTCTCCCGGAGAAGCTTTGGTCCTCACACTGAGCATTGCTTCCTGGCTCCAGAAGGGAAGACATGTACCGCTTGGTCTCCAGGATGAACTCGTCATGCTGGCTGTCTTGGCATATACTCGAATGTCCTTATTGTCGGAGGAGCTCGGGGCCTCTGTGTTGCTGAGGATGGCTGTGGCGCCTTTCAGGACAGCCCTGGTCTTTGTTGTAAGTGTGACTTCTCAGCTGCAGGGTAGAACCCTCATCCCACCAGCACAGCTCCTTCACCCTTCTGGCGTAGACTTCCTAGCTTTTCCACGAGTGACCTTGTGCCCTTCCCAACACGGATCCATAAAAGACACTGGCATGAGTCCTTCTTGTGGACTCCAGTTGGACTCGTGGGAGGCAATTGTCATGAGCTTCAGGCCCTTGGCTAAATATCTATGTTTTTAGTGTTGTGGACAGATTTCCTGCATTTTCTTGTGTTAACTCTCGGTGACCATCATAAAATAATAGTGTAAACTCCGTATCCTAATTCTAATTGTTCTCCTTACAACCTCTGACTACGACTGAAGTTTTGCTCCAAGACTAAAAACAATGTTCCAGCATTCCATGGTGGTGCACACCTGTGATCTCAACACTCTAGGATCCTGAGGCAGGAGTATTTTAAGTTTGAACACAGGCTGGGGAATTGAGCTCAAGATAAAAAATTGAAAAAGGGTTAACATGATAGCTCAGTGCAGAGGCCCTGAGTTCAAACCCCAGTACCAAACAGAAACTTTAGGTAGTCAAGTGGTTTTAGCAAACACAGAGAATAAATTTTGTTCAAAAACATTTATTAGCTGAGCATGGTGGTCATGCCTGTAATCTCAGCATTTGGGAGGCTGAGACAGGAGGGTTGTTGTGAGTTTGAGGGCAGTTTGGACTACAAAGTAAGTTCAAGGCCAACTTGAGTTGCATGGTGAAACTCTGTTTTAAAATACAAAAACAAAACAAAAAAACCCCTAAAATAACCACTTAATTAATCTTTGTTTTCATGGACACAATCTTGCCTAAACCTCTTATTCCCTTGAACCATTTAACTATTCTCTAGTTTTTTTTCTAGTTTTATTATTTTTTTAAATGTTTTTTTCTGTTCTCTAATTTTAAGCTTCTACAATGGCCACCATTCTAATGTAAGCCTTTATCTATCATACCTCAACTAATGTCATATTTTTCCATATTTATCTCACTTTCCATCCATCCTATGTATATTCATTTCACCAAACAAATATTTGAGAATTTACTCTATGCCAAGTCCTATCTTAAAGACAGACCTGAGCTTTATCTTTTGAGTATTTATCTTCCTAAAAGATTGTTTTGCAAATGGCACTACACAGACAAAAACTTTCAATATGTAATTGTTAAAATCAAAATGTCTTTTTAAAAAAAAACGTGGGTGTGGTACCACATACCTATAATCCCAGGAATGTGGTCAGGAGGGCCCTGAGTTCAAAGCCATCCTGTGTCACGTAGCAAATCTGAGGCCATGTGGGGATCTCACGTGCTGCCCAGTCTGGCCTCTAACTTGTGATCCTCCTGCCTCAGCCTCCCATGTAGCTAGAATTACAGATATGCACTAGTGCTTGTGCCCAGGTAGTAGTCTATTCTTTATGAAAAACATTCACTTGTTATGGTTTAGGATCTAAATGTCATCCAAAAGTTTTGCTGCGTAGGAAATTTGGCTGCTGGTAGGCTTTCAGGAATTTGTTGACTCATGAGGGTGCTAATGTGATTTAATCTTCTGATGAGATCATAATTTGATGTCATTATGGGAGGAAGTGGAAACAGGAGGTGTTGGAAGGAATGGATGATGGGACATGGCATTTGAGACAGGAGAAAAGGGCTTGTCACTCCTCAAGAGACTTTTTACTTTTCTTATGCAGCTGCTTTAAATGTTTCTAACCAGCCACAGCTATATCAGGAGTTGCATGGCTGCTCCAGGAGACATTTGCTATCAGTGGGACAAGCTTCAGCCATGGGCTCCACCGTACAACCCCACTAGAAGAATTCATCTCTCTGCAGCCCTCCTCAACAGGTCCTCAAGGAGCCCCTCTGCTAACCATGAACAAATAGGAAAATGTAACTGAGTATGATGGTGGACTGAGCATGATGGTAATCCCAGCACTCTGGGAAGCTGAGGCAGAAAGATTGCAGGTTCAAGCCCAGTTTGGGCAATTTAGTGACTTAGTGAGAGCCTGTATGAAAATAAAAAATAAAAAAGGGTTGAGGATGTAGAGCTATAGATCAGTGTGAAAGCTCTGGGTTCAATCCCTGAACTGCAACAACAACAAAATTCTGACACCATACATGTGTGGGCCTTTTTCTTTTTTGCTGGGTTTTTTGTTGTTGTTGTTTGAGTGTCAGAGGCTGAACCCAGAGCCTCACATATGTTAGGCAGGAGCTCTACCACTGAGCTACATTTTCAACTCTTTTTCTCTATATAAGAAATTTCTTCCATACCCTTAATGGGTCAACTATGTAGCCCAAGCTACCTTTGAACTCATGGAAATTCCCATGCCTCAGCAGGCTTACAGGCAAGCATCACCGTGCCCCCCAATCTCTTCCTATCTGGCTTGTTCTCTCACTGTCTGCTTACCAACTGTTATAAAGTAAGGAGCTTTATTCCAGCATGCTCTTCCACTGCAATGTTCTGTCTTTTTTCAGTCCCACAACAATGGAACCACCTGTCCTTGGACTGAAACTTCTAAAACCATAAGGCAAAATAAAGCTTTACTCTTTTAAGGTACTTTCCTAGGAATTATATCATAGTAATGAAAAAAGCTGACTAATGCAACCACTTGAATTCCTGTCTGTAAGTTTGTATATTCTTTCCTACCTAGTTTGTCTTACCTGAGGTGTCTTTATGTAGGTATGTAAATATTTTGCAGTACTAGGGACTAAGCTCCATGCCTTTGCACTGAACTACATTCCTAGCCCTTTTTATTTTTGAGACACGATCTCACTAAGTTGCCCAGGCTGGGTTCAAACTTGCAGTCCTCTTGCCTCAGCTTCCCAGAGGCTAGGTATTACTATGTATCACTATGCTCAGTCTTCTGGACCCTCACTGCTGCAGAGTTTTCAAAGGGACTTTTTTTTCCATACCAGGGATCCAACTCATGACCTTGTGCTTGCCAGGTAGGCACTTAAGCCACTGAGCTAAATCCCCAGCCCACTGCTACAGAGTTTTGCTGTATAGTCCAGGCTGTCCTCAAACTCAAAATCCTGTTTCAGCCTTCTGTGTGCTGAGATTATAAGCATGCACCAATATGCCTAGGTCTCTTTTCTTTGCTTTTCTAGTTAGTTAATAATATCTTCATTCAATAGATGCTGAGTACCTACTAAGGGCCAGGCTACCTTACCTTCAGAACAAAGCTAACTTCCAACTTTTTCTAGAAAGCTATCCTTTCCTAATTTTCTCTAACTTCAAGAGTCATTTTCTTAGTAGAAAACAACAGGGCAGTAAAAGCCTTGTTCTGGTTCAGATGAGGGAACTTTAAACTGCAGTGGCGATTCATCTTATAACTCTGAGCAAATCACTTTTTTATCTAGTCTTAACTGACATCCTGGGGTAGGGTTTACCAAAATATGGCCCAGGGACCAAATCCCACCCATATCCTGTTTTTACATGACTTTCAACAATCATTTTTACTTTTTTAATAGCTAGAGAAGTCAGATGTGGTGGCACATGCCTGTAATCCCCACAGTCCTGAGGCTGAGTAGAACTGCCCTGTGTTCAGAACTAGCCTTAGTTACATAGTGAGTTCAAGGCCTACCTGAACTGCATGGCAAGAAACTGCCTCAAAACAAACAAGCCAAGAGAAAGAAAAAATAAGCAGAGATTGATGATGCATGCCTGTAATGCCAGCACTTGGGAGACTGAAGCATAATTGCTGTGAATTCAAGACCATTCTGTATTACATAGCAAGACCCTGTCTCCGGGAAAAAATTAAAAAGCTGGAGAAAAATGCAGACTATTTTGTGATACGTGAAAATTAAATTATATTCAAATTTCAGTGTCCATTAGATTTATTTTTCTTAAGTCTTTAAGCCTTTCTTAAGTCTTTTGCCCAGGCTGGTGTCAAGATCTTGACTCAAATGATCCTCCTAACTCAGCTTCCTGAGTAACTGGGAATACAGGCGCTGAGCCAGAATCCTAAAACTTTATTACATACTATCATATCCACTTACTACATTGCAACAGAGAATTTATTGCCTACCAAACCCAAAATATTTACTACATGGCTCTTACAGGAAAAAACATTTGCCATCGTCTGTCTTCGACTCGTGTCGGGATCTGCTGTCGTGCTTCACTTTGGCTTCTCTCAGCTCCCTCCTTACACTATGAACCTCTGGGTTTGGGCACCTGAGTCACTGAATCTGGCAAGAAAACGCCTGTCACGACCGGGAAGCTCGCTGTAAGATTCTGAAGCTGAGTTGGGAAAGTTGACTGATTGTCCCTCACTTTCCTTCTCTGTACAACAGAGATAAAAAGCTGGGCTGTAAACGCGACAAGCAAGAGATAAGACGTGGAAAAGCACTCAGCCACGCGCTCATAGTCATCTTGCTTGTCTCCACGCGTTTCCTGAGCAAGCGCCACTGCTGGCGCTGCGCTGCGCGGCCGCAGAGACTTGTGCAGAGAGCTGAGCCTCAGAGCAGGGGGCGCTGGGGCCTGAGTGCTGGAGGCGGTGCCGCGCGGCTGTCAATCAAGGCCGCCGCGGGGCGTGGCGGGACAGGGCGTGGGGTAGCGGCGTTTCCGCCTGCGGGAAGCAGCGCGAGTGAGCTCTCAGGCGCTCGGCACAGTCAGTCAGCAACCCGCGCCTCAGCGGTGTGGCCGGATGAGGGGCGCCATGGAGCTGGACCCCGAGCTGTTGCTGCAGGAGGCCCGCGAGAACGTGGAGGCGGCGCAGAGCTACCGGCTGGAGCTGGGCCAGCGGCTGCAGGGACTGCAGGAGGCGCAGAGGCAGGTCGGAGGGCCGGGCCGAGGGAGGGCGCGGGCACGGGGGGCGCGGGCGGTGGGCGCTGAGGGCGCCGAGGGCTCCAGTGGAGGGAGTGTCCGAAAGCTTCGGCCCGGGAAGGAAAGGCTCGGAAGGCTGCCGAGACCTAGGAGGGCCTGGGAGTGGGAAGGGGGTCACTGAGGGTTTTCGGGGGAAGGCAAGTTTAGGGGATCGCGGGAGCGCGTGAGGAACGGAATGTGGGTGGCGTCCTTGGTTAGAAGAGTGAGGGACCGCAGGAAAATCCGAGGGTCCCAGAGGCCAGCGGTGGCCGGAGAGTCAGGGGAAGTGGGGTTATTTGAGAAAAGCTGCGGTGGGTAGATATGGACATTAGAGAGCGTGAGGAAAATAGGGGACAAGGATCTGAGGAGAGCTAAAAGTGGAGAGAAAATGGGCATTGGAAGGGAAGGACTAGAAAGAGAGAAGGCGAAGGTGGGGGTTGAGAAATAGCGATAACGCTAAATGAATGGGTTAACGTGTGATCCACAATGCATTTCTGAAAGAAATCATTTAGAATCATCTCATCCTAGGTGGTTTAAGATTTAAGGTGAAAGTTATTAAAGGGGCAGAAGAAGAAAACTGGGACTCTAGAGGAAAGATGCAAATGTGAGGGGAAATGGAAAAGTGCGTTTACAGGGAGGTGTGCTGAAAGAAACTAAATATACTTTCAAGTGGTGCACTTATCTGTTCCGTGGGGAAGGGTTATCAGAGACATGGGGCAGCTATATGGTTTCTCTATGTCCTCTAACATGTTTAGAACAAGAGATAACCCACTGCTAATGAGCCATAAAATAATCGGGATTCCAACTTTATGTCATGTGTGTTATTTACCTAGTCGTGCTAGTAACTCTTTTGCTTCATAGAATCTGCAGATGGTAGAGAGGTGCTGTGATAACAGTGTGTTTGAATGTTATCACTAAGAATACTCTACGTGCTTTGGGTTTTATGTATTTTAAAAATACTTGTAGGCGGGGTGAGGTGATGCACATCTAGCACTCCGGAGGAGACAGGAGGACCCCCACTAATTCCAGGCCAGGGTAGGCTACAAAGTGAGTTCAAGGCCAGTTTGAACTGCATAGTGAAACCCTGTCTCAAAAAGACCCTTACCCCAAAAAGTCTTTGTACAGCTGGTACTGTTTAGGCCAGCAACCCTTCTCATTTTAGTATCAAAACTGCTAGGAGCCTTTTGTTGGGGGTGCATGGCTGTAATCCCAGCACTTGGGAGAATCTCAGTTGAGGCCATTCTAGACTACCTAAGAAGATCCTGTCTCAAAAAAGTAATAAATAAATAAAAATAAAACCCATCCAAAGCTACCCTTCCAAACCCAACTGGGAGCAGAATCTAGATAGTAGCCTGATTTGGTAAATACTTTGCAGGGCTTTCCAGTCCTCCTGCCTCAGGAGGGCATTCTGGATTTCTCTTTGCAAATATCTGCGATATTCCTTCAATTTTATTAATTAATTTATTTATTTATTTCTGAGACAGGGTCTTGCTGTGTAGTGTGGGCTGGCCTTGAACTTGTTTATGTAGCCCAGGTTGACTTCAAACTCATGATGATAGTCTTGCCTTGGTTTCCCAAGTGCTGGGATTACAGCATGCACCACACATCTGGCTCCTATTTTATGTTATTTTATTTATTGGCTCTATTTATTTATTTATTTGTCTTTTTGGGACGGGGTCTTGCCGTGCACTTTAGGCTGTCCTTGAGCTCACTTTGTAGCCCAGGCTGGTCTTGAAGTTGCAACCATCTTCCTGCCTCAGCCTCCAGTGTGCTGGGATTGCAGATATGCACCACCACACCCAGTGCATGGCTCCTACTTTAAAGTAAAGTTTCTGTGATGTTTTGGTTTTGAGAAGGGTCTTGCTACCCAGTTCAGGCTGGCCTTGAACTTGTGGAAATCTTTCTGCCTTAGCCTCCCAAATGCTGAGATTACAGGCACGTGCCCCATGCCTGGCTGAAATGGTTTGAAAAGACATCAAAACATCTCTTAATACATGACTGATGTCTTATGTAACCAGTTTAAATATCTTACATATGAGCATACATATTGTTTAATAGTATTAGTAATTAAGTAACAGAGTTGACACTAAGGAATGGGGTTAGCACATACTTAGCAAATCTCTTATGTGATAGTAGGTGGGTAAAAAAGTTAGCGTGCTCCCCATCCTACATGGTTTAGTTCTCAACTTCCAAACCTATGTTCTTTCACATTTCAATAGTTTAAATACAAGACATACTTTCCTATAATTTAGTGTAGTTTAGTATGGTGTTTTGGTTTTTTGTTTGTTTGTTTTAAAGGCCATTGTCTTAGGCTTGAGACAGAACACTGAAAGAACATCTATCATAGTTTTCTGATGACCTTGCTTTTGGATTAGACTAATGGTATAGTTCTCTTTTGTCAACTGGAATGTGTTTTGTGCCTGTGCCAGTGCCAGTTACAACAGCTAACTCTAGTTGATTGTGCAGTTTGGGTTTGTAGAATAAGTCCTCTGTCAACTTTCATTTAAGGAGGGTTTGGCACAAAAATATTATCAAAATAAGCAGCTCCTTTTGTTTGGTGGCTAGAATATTTTTAGTGTTCCAGTCATTTTCAGAACGAAAGTAAAATATATGGCTTCTTAGCTAAATATTTTATGTGGGGAAGGCTAAAAAGAGCAAAGATGAAGGGAGAGTATCCTTCATGTATATTTTTTACTCACTGATTTTATTTCCTTTTATTGTTTTTTTGTTTGTTCGCTTTTGCTTTTTCTATACTGAGGATTGGGCCTAGGGCTTTTGCATTGAGCCATAGCACTGGCCCATTTTTATTTTAACACAGGACCTTGCTAAGCCCCTAAATTTCCCAGGCTGGGTTTGAACATATGATCATTCACCTTAGCCTCCTTGAGTGTTGGGATTACAGGCATGTGTCACTACACCTGCTTTGTCATGTACTTTTTTTTTTGTGGTAGTGTGGTGGTGGTAGTGGTACTGGGGATTGAACCCAGGGGCTCATGCCTACTTATGCTAGGCAAGTGCTCTTTTACTAAGCTATAATGCCAGACTTTGCTTTTTAAAAAATTGAGATATAATTAATACAGCATAAGCCTCATTTTAATTTCTTTAAAAATTTGTTTATTTCTTTGGTACCAAGAATTGAACTCAGGACGTTGTACTTGCCAGGCAAGCGCTATGCCACTGAGCTACATCCCTGGCCCAAACCTCATGTTTCTATTTTTAAAATTTATTTATTGTTTTTTGAGACAAAGTCTCACTATATGGATTAGGTTGGCCTTGAGTTCACTTTATATTCAGGCTGGTTTCAAACTTGCAACAATCCTCCTGCCTCAGCTTTCCAGGTGCTGGGATTACAGGTGTGCACCACCACACCTGGCTCCTTTATGTTCTTAAGATACACATTTCAGTAATTTTTAAAAATATATTTACAGAGTTGTTAAGCTATCATCATTGGCTAAAATACTTTCAGTATTGCCTCTCAATACCATCCCCAAATACTCCCATTATTTTTAGCTGTCACCCTCCAGTTTCAGTGTATGTGCTGCTGAAAGGAGCACTCTTAGCTGTCACTGTCTCTGGCCCGAAGCAGTCACTGAGAACTAGTTTTTGACTGTATCGGTTTGCCTATTCTGGACATTTCATATAAATAGAATCATATAGTGTATAGTTCTCATGATTGACATCTTTTTTTTGGAACTGGGTATTGAACTCAACAGCCTCACAATTACCAGGCAAGTGCTTGAACCACTGAGCTAAGTCCCCAGCCCTATGATTGACATCTTTGACGTAGCCTGTTTTCTAAATAGTAGCACATATCAGTACCTTAATGCTTTTGTGGCTGAATACTATTTGTTGTGTACATACATCACATTTTATTTAGTCTTTCATGAATTCCTAGACACTGGGGTTATTTCCACCTTTTGACTTTTGTGCCACTGTGAACATCTGTGTATAAATTTTATGTGGGGCTGGGGATTTAGCTCAGCAGCATAAGCGCCTGCCTTGCAAGCAGGCAGTCGTGAGTTCGATCCCCGGTACCGATAAAAAGCAAAAAGACAAAAAAAAAAAAAAAAAAAATCTATAATTTTATGTGGATATTTTTTCAATTTTTTTTAAGACTATCCAGCAAATTACATAATCATATGGTAACCTTGTTTAAGCTTTTAGGAACTCTTGGCATACTTTTTATCTTTTCTTTTTTTTTTTTCCTTTCCTTTAAAAATCTCTCATAAAAGTTGGAGATGGTTGTACTTGCTTGTAATCCTAGCATTGTGGGGAATAAGGCAGAAGAATTGCAAGTTTGAACCTGGCCCAGACAATTTAGTAACTCACTGAGACCCTGTCCCAAAATAAAAAAGGGTAGGGGATATAGCTCAGGGTAAAGGCTTTGAGTTAAATCTCCAGTACTGGGAGGGGGAAAAAAACCCTCATAAAATTTGTCTCATGTTAAGAAATTATATATAATTTCCAATACAAAAGACAAAGTAAAAAAAAAAAAGAAATTATATATATGAGAGTCTAGAAGGATGAAAGATGAAAATCTTTTAAGTCAAAAACAACTGCTAGCAAGGAGCAGTTTTGCCTCTGTGGTTAAGTTTAGGCCTTCCCCTGTGTTTTAGAGAAAAGGAAGTTCTTTGTAGGAATGCAAGAGTTGTCTGTCTTACTGTTTAAGTTAAGGGTAGAGAGTTGTTTATTGTCTTCAGGAAATCAGATAATGTTTACAACCAGCCTTTCCTCATGTTGAAATCATTAAGGGTACAGTAGTCCTCAGTAGCTTTCTGGAATGCTTGGTGCAAAGATGTAAATACCAAAGACATTAACTCCCACTCTCTTTAAATATTTATTTGTTCATTCACTCACTAAGTATTTATTAGGTGGCAGAGGTACTTCTGGATACAATATACTGTGGAAATAGGCTACTGTTTTCAAAGATTTACTTTTTGTTTGTTGGCTGACAATTAGGTTATCACCCCT